TCAAGTCCAACCTACGATCACGTTTAACGGATGAAAGCCTCAACGCTTGCATGAAGCTTAACCTCACCAAGTACCAACCCGACTACAAAGACATCAGCAAATCCATGCAGCACCAGAAGTCGCATTAATGGTGAGTGTTATAACAACATTATTTAAAAGAATAAATTCAGAGGCTTATTATACTGACATTTAGTTGAATTCACTTTTAAAATATATTATATGGCTCTCACTGAAATAAATTTCCAAATTTTTTGCTTTCATGGCTCTCTTAGTCAAAAAGGTTCCCGACCCCTGTTCTATAGTGAGGCAGGGCGTGTTATTCTATAGTGAGGCATGGCGTGTTATTCTATAGTGAGGCATGGCGTGTTATTCTATAGTGAGGCAGGGCGTGTTATTCTATAGTGAGGCATGGCGTGTTATTCTATAGTGAGGCAGGGCGTGTTATTCTATAGTGAGGCATGGCGTGTTATTCTATAGTGAGGCAGGGCGTGTTATTCTATAGTGAGGCAGGGAGTGTCATTCTATAGTGAGGCAGGGCGTGTTATTCTATAGTGAGGCATGGCGTGTTATTCTATAGCAGGGGTCGGCAAACTATGGCTCGCGAGCCAGATATGGTTCTTTTGATGACTGCATCTGGCTCGCAAATAAATCTTAGCTGACATTTCTTAACATGATAAGTAATGAATAATTCCGCTGACATTAAAGTACAACATTACAGAAATCACAGTGTTAAAAATAACGTTTAAAATATAAAACATTCTCATGCATTTTAATCCATCCATCCATTTTCTACCGCTCCTGCTCAGGGTTGCAGGTAGCTGGAGCCAATCCCAGCTGTCCGACACCAAAACTCAATTTTTATTGGATAATGCGGTAGCCTACGGGTCCATCTTCTTGGTTCTTTCAGTAAAGTCACGTAGAATGAGAATAAAACAATAAAACAAAATAAGAATACAATTCTCACGACGTTTCGGCCACAACACAAGTAGCCTTCTTCAGGTGAAGGAACAGAACTGTCGGGACGACAGCGCTTCAATGAACGCTGCTAAGATTCGCAGCGTCTTCTAAGCTAGGTGGGAGAGGTAAAGCGCCTTGACAAAGGAGTTTACATATCAAGCAGGAGAATTTAGCATTGAAATAGCTGTGTTAAAGTGTTGGATCAGCAGGGTGTTAAAGTCAGAAATTAGCATGTAACTGGGAGATTAGCATGATGTTAATGTGAGGGATTAGCATGTGACTGGTCACGGAAATAGCTATCTTAAAGTCAAAGTTTACATCAACAGAGGCATTTAGTATATGGATGCTAAAGGACTGCAACTACCCAACTATCATACAATAAACCGATGTGAAAAAAACTACATCAATATAATAAATGTACTCAATATATTCTTCAATAAGTTGAGCTATTAACATAAAATAACTGGGTATGCACTACACTATATAATGAATACCATATAGTAAACTAATAAAAACCTAAAATATAAACTACATCAATGTTATCAATAAACTCTATATACTCTCCAATCAGCTGAGCTACTAACAATAAGTCGTTATACATTACAATGCCATATGGCAAAAAAATGGGTGGCGGTTTTTTCTTTTCAACGTTAGCACTACGGACAGCGACGAGCTATGTGCAGACGGACGAGTCCATCTATTCTCGGAACGGAGGAGGGGGGAGAAACAGCCACGATGCGCTGTTATACTCCATGTTATAAACGATACCATTAACCGTGGTGTGAGAGGTATTAAGAGGCAAAGCCAGCGAAAGAGCTGCGGTCTGAAGGTCACCGTAAAATACAATTAATTAAGAACTGAAATGGTTTAAAACATCTTTCCAATGGTTACTAAGCCAGAATCCATCTTCTCGGTTGAAATTCTCTGTGCTTGTATATGTGGATGGCCTCATGAACGAATCTCTCATGGTAGCCGGTTGGCTTGCAAAGAACCTCCGTCTTGGAGAAGTCAATGTCACGTGAGCCCACTGAATTATAACAGTGATCTGCCACGGCAGAGGAGTTCGTCCTACCGTGTTTCAAGTCTGCTTTATGTTCGCGGATGCGGTCCGAGATATGTCGTTTGGTTTCTGATGTGGTGTCCTTATTCACCAAAGTTCCGATACCTGACACCTGTTGTATATGTAGGTTATGAAAATTTGATGAAAATAATGAAAAATAAATTAAATTTAAATTTTGCCTAATTTATCCGAAATTATGTTAATTTGTGTAATTATGCATCTAAATTATGCTAATTCGAGAGATAACTGTAAATTTATGCGAGTGGGTGTGGTTATGATAATGCAGGTTGTTATGATAATCGGGCCCAGCCTCGGTAACGAAGGTTGGGTTATCAATTGGAACAATGCAATTAATCGTATGCAGTTATGCAGGTGAGCGTGAATGAGAGAGTCAACTCGACTTGTTATGTAACTCCGTATTAACAATAGCATACAATTATTCTCGATTTAACGTTTATTGATTATGGGTGTTAGTGTGCTTATGATAGGTCCCCCAAGATTCAGATCTCAATCGCAGAACAATTCTTATGCAGAATCACGGAAAGAATCACACAGTCGCTTCTGCATTAATCAATTTTATTTTCTAGCTCAACTTTATTTTATTTTTTATCTTAGCAGCGTTCATTGAAGCGCTGTCGTCCCGACAGTTCTGTTCCTTCACCTGAAGAAGGCTACTTGTGTTGTGGCCGAAACGTCGTGAGAATTTTATTGTCTTATTTTGTTTTATTGTTTTATTCTCATTCTACGTGACTTTACCGAAAGAACCAAGAAGATGAATCCTTGCAGTCACAAAGGCTTTAAATTGAAAAAGCCTACGGGTCGTTGTGAGGTCAAGAAGTAAACTTCCGTCCTTTGAATCAAATAGTCAGCTAGCTAATTTATGCAGAGCAAACCCTTTTGATGAAGAAGATGGCGAAAAGAAAAAAAGATGAGGAGTACCGCACATTTCAGCACGAATGGACAGAAGAATTTGCCTTTGTGGAGAGAGCAGGTTCTGCGGTGTGTCTAATATGCAATGATAAAATTTCATCGATGAAACGGTCAAATATAAAGCGGCACTTCGACACACGCCATACTACATTTGCATCGAAATATCCAGCGGGGGACAGCAGAAAGAAGGCATGCCAAGAGCTACTGTCCAAGAGTGCAAGCTAGTCAGCCGCAACTCCGTGTATGGACGAGACAAGGTGACGGGAATTCGGTTAGCTTTGCTGGTTCTTTAGCAATTGTGAGGAACGGAAAGCCATTCACAGATGGCGAGTATGCCAAAACATTCATGCTTGTGGTGGCCAACGAACTTTTTGACGACTTTTCGGATAAAGACAAGATAATCAAACGAATAAAAGACATGCCTCTGTCAGCAAAAACTGTTCACGATCGTACTATAATGATGGCAAATCAAGTGGAGGAAACACAAGTGAAGGACATAAATGCAGCGCCATACTTTTCCCTCGCTTTGGATGAGTCAACAGACGTAAGTCATTTATCCCAGTTCAGTGTGATTGCAAGGTATGCTGCCGGTGACACACTGCGTGAGGAAAGTCTTGCTTTATGAGACCTCCTTTGCCAGTAACAAGATATAGGAATAGGTTTTACCCTTTTAACTGGCACAAAAACTGACACCTTTATTCAAGGCATCATGTTTGCAATAACCACAACACAAGCAGTCAAAATGCAAACAAAAAAGACAACTCTGATAATAATATGCACTGTCCTTGAATTTGATTGGTCCACACCCGAGACAGCTTTTCTTAGAGCCTAGTCTCCATTGGTGTTGGACCAGAAGACGCCAAAAGGCGTACAACTCAAAAACAGCGCACTATCAGAGTATTGAGGGCTCGGGGTGAGCATTTACATTATGAGACCTCCTTTGCCAGTAACAAGATATAGGAATAGGTTTTACCCTTTTAACTGGCACAAAAACTGACACCTTTATTCAAGACATCATGTTTGCATTTTGACTGCTTGTAATTACGCGGATGGCCAAAACTGGTGATGTAATGTCAGCGGTAGAAGAGAATGCACCCGAGGGATGACCACCATGGAGATGGAGCAATGGGGATGGGTCACGTGCAAGCAGTCAAAATGCAAACAAAAAAGACAACTGGTGAGGGATAGTAATGGCATGGGGAGGCCTTTCAGGTTTTCTGGTTTCCTGCCAGTGCTAAACCCACACACACAGTGGAACTGGTATTTTTCAAACATCCGAAATCAACGACGAAAAATTACTCAATCGGGGATTACACAATACGAAAACTTGGCAGGACCCCCCTCGAGATAGAGTCTTGAGACTCCTTGAGGCTTTCATGGTTAATAGAGTGTAATACTAGCGATAATAATTACGATCTCGATTCATATTGTAATGTAACCTACACGAAATGAAACAACTTATTTGGTCGAGACTGCATTGGCAGTGGTGCACAAGCACAAATAACAAAAACTCAACACATTTGTGGCATGAAAAGTAAAAAAAAAAATCTAAAATAGGCAATGTTTTCAGCCAGTGTCCTTTCTCCATGTGCAATGACATTTTGGGAGATTGCCCTCCTACCTGACCCTCCCTGTTGGTGTCGAGGTCGCCGTACGCTGCCTTTCCAGGAGATGGCACTTCCGCAAGTGGAGTCATCTCTATCTGTACGAGGGATAAAGTGTTGTGCTCTCACACGCGTGTGTTTTCTCTGGGTGCTCCGATGCTCTCCCGCAATTATGAACTCTCGTGACATCTGAATATGTAGAGGACCACAGACCTTGGGCAATTAGTTGTGCCGGTGCACCTCATAGCTACTGCTGCTTTTCCGCTTGTCTGTGGTTCCTGCCCGCGCTTCTCTGCATCGGTCTCCCTGCTCGTTATGTGTCTACGTGTTTTATAACTTCCATACAAACGGTTCCTTTCACAGTTTAACTGAATGCGTGGCAGAGGTTGGGCATCGTCTATGCGAGGGCGACGCCGCTTGAATGAAATGACTGATATTTCCTCTTTCAGCTGCGGAACACTGAGCGGTGGAGCAGCCAGCAATGCTTTCAGTTCAAGCGAAAATACTGCTACGTGTTCCTCATCGCCGTCCTGTTGGTTGCCGTCATCGTCTTGGGCGCAAACTACTCTCGCAAAGGTAAACCCTGCGATAGTCATTACGTTGTAATTTTGCATCGCGTCGTCCGTGCGAATTGCATCTCGGAAGTGTTTTGATGACGTTTTGCAACACGCGCAGTTTTGGTGATGGCGACACGGGAAACACCGGCGGGAAGGCAACTGGGAACCGGTGCCGACGATTGCCCAAGCTCTGTGGTCCTATATTGGGATGTTTGGCCAACTTCATGAAGCCGGAGTACCTGGAGAAAACCGATGCGTGCCATGGGGAGGGGGGTGGGTAACATTCATACCCTGTACAGATGGACATTAACCCACTTGCTTTACGTAAAAAAAATGTTAATGTATGCAATTATGCGCATAAATTATGCTGATTTGAGATAAGCGTATGACTTTATGCGAGTGCGTGCGCTTATTCTGATGCGAGCCGATTATGATAATTGGGCCCCGCCTCACTGACGAGGGTAGTATTATCAATCGGGATCATCCATTAGTCGTATGAGGTTATGCAGGTATGCTATGAGTATGCCAGAGTAAGCTCGGCTTTGTCGTCTAGGTTCGTATTATCGATCGGGATAATACAATTGTTCTCGCTTTAACATTTACTGATTATGTATTAGTGTTTTATGTCAGGTCTCCAAATTCAAATCTCAACGCAGAATACAGTTCTTATTAATACGATTATTATGCATGGACTCAGGAAAGAAACACGCAACCACTTCTGTGTTAAGCAATTTTATTCTAAACAAAACCTTAACTATGTGAACTCTCAGGCTTGGAATAATCAACACAGTACCATCGGGGAATTCCCTCAGGTCGCAGCACCTTTAACCATCAAGGATTGCGTTGTTTCACTTTGGCAACTGCACATATGATTAATTCCACCGCTTAACACGAGCTTAGTTGGTAATGGGAGAGTCTTAACCCGTCATGCGCGATGTTCTAAACAAAACCTTAACACTTATAATATGCAAATTATTATGCTTGAATTGTCAACACATTACTCCAGGCAATGTTCCCCTCATTGACTATACATTCCACCCTCAATAATCACGTTGTTAATTGGGTAGCAGATCAATTGATTACTTCAGAGTACCACGAGCATACACGGCAAATACGAATAAAAAGTCCTTAAAATTCATCCGACGACATTCATGCGAAAGGCGATCAAAGCAATTATCATACTCCAAAGGCGCAAATATACGTCAATAGATTCATCGGCAAGATTATATAATGAACGAGAATAAAGTGTGAGGCGGTACGTGCCCTCCCACGTGATATAATTAATTCGTGGACAAGATTGTATGATAAAGAAACCGGTTTAACACGATATTTTCAAGATTTGAAGCTTTCGTGACTGCAAGGATCCATACTCTTTGGTTCTATTCGGTAAAGTCACGTAGGTAAAAATAAAATAACAAAAAATCACGACGTTTCGGCCACAACACAAGTGGCCTTCATCAGGTGAAGGGACTGGACTGTCCAGAGGACAGCATTGGAGTGAAGACAGTAAGCCCAGGTCGCGTCCTTTAAGCTTGTTGTCGTGGTATCTTTTAAGGAAGGTCAGCGTCTCGCTGAGCTTTGACTTCTTGTCCCATTGTCTGTTGAAAGCTCTAACAGATAGGTGAAAGCCCTCCCCGTAGAGGTTATCAATTCTAGATTTGAAGCTTTCGTGACTGCAAGGATCCATACTCTTTGGTTCTATTCGGTAAAGTCACGTAGGTAAAATATTAAAACAACAAAAATCACGACGTTTCGGCCACAACACAAGCGGCCTTCATCAGGTGAAGGGACCAACCTGTCCAGCGGACAGCGTTGGAGTGAAGAAAGCCAAGCGCTGGTCGCCTCCCTTTAAGCTGTTGTGGCCGAAACGTCGTTGATTTATGTTTTTTTAATTTTTTACCTACGTGACTTTTTCCCGAATAGAACCAAAGAGTATGGATCCTTGCAGTCACGAAAGCTTCAAATCTAGAATTGATAACCTCTATGGAGAGGGCTTTCACCTATCTGTTAGAGCTTTCAACAGACAACGGGACAAGAAGTCAAAGCTCATCGAGACGCTGACCTTCCTCAAAAGATGCCGCGACAACAAGCTTAAAGGACGTGACCTGGGCTTGCTGTCTTCACTCCAACGCTGTCCTCTGGACAGTCCAGTCCCTTCACCTGATGAAGGCCACTTGTGTTGTGGCCGAAACGTCGTGATTTTTTGTTATTTTATTTTTTACCTACGTGACTTTACCGAATAGAACCAAAGAGTACGATATTTTCCTTATGAGCGTACAGCTTTGTGACGAAGGTTCCAAAATGTTTCATTTATATCGATGAATCTATTGGTAATTATGTGGTTGGGAGTAAAATCCCAAAAAAATTACTGTACTTATAAAAACGACGTATTCTCATCACTCGGTGAGCCGAGATGCCTTCACGGCCAGCTGATGGTTCAGGTACTTGATAATTAGGCTTCTTATTAATGATTCGTGTATGTGTTGAGTGTTGTGAATTGGGTTGAGTGGGGGTGTGTTCTGGATCAATTCTTTGCGTCAAGAAGACGCCAGGTGATGCAGTGGCAGTGTGAGTATCATACGTATAGCTGGATTCCTTCTTTCACGGCAGCCAGGGTTCGGCCCACAGCTGGTTGACGAGTTGACGCGGTTCTCGCCGTTGGTGCGATGATCCTTCAGCAGATGGCACTCGCAGCTCGTCCGCTGGCAGTTGGCGCGCTTGTTTGGTGTAACTTGGTGGCGCTTTGCGGCGCGCTCTCTGGTGATGAACGATGGTTCTGCTCGTTGATGGCAGATTTGGTCAACGTTTGACTCTTTCAGCCCTCTCTGATGGCTGATGCTGTAATTCTCGTCAGCTTAACTAGAACTGCAGTGACCCTTGTGAGTCGAGTTCAGAGCGGAATGCTTTTCGAGCGATACTTCTTCTGATGGTGCTGAATTCGCACAGCGTAGCATGTCGCTAAACAGCGAGCCTCGCCATTATGGGCGAGTTGTTGAGTCTTCTTCTGCGTGGGTGGTGGCTGATGTCTTCTGTTGGTCGCCATCTTCTGCCGCTGGTCGCTACTGCTTGATTCTTCAGTGCTGGCACGTTTCTCTTTTATGTCAAAATTTCTCCCTTTGGCTCCGCCTTCTTACAAGGGGCAGATCTCCCTTTCATCTCCTTCTATGTTGTGGGGTTGGAGTGTGCGTGTCCTTATGTGTGTGTGTGTGTGTGTCATTTATTGAGGTAATATTAGTTTCATCAGGGCCTGGTCTCCCGTCGCCTTCCTCAAGCCATAAACCATCAAAAGGAAACAGATGCTCCGAGTGTGTCGTTTGTCTCACTCTCTGCATTAATTAGTCTGGAAGGAGGGGCGAGCCCTCTCCCCCCCCCCCCGTGTGACATTTTTCCGACGCACAAAGGGTGGGTTGAGGCTTTTAAAGTTAACATTTATTTTATCATAGTTTGGTACCTTCCCACCTGCAGTTATGATTCTGTATGCGACTCAAGGTATGTTGTAGTGGTGTTTCCATCGTGGTGTTTAATTTTTATTTCCAAGAGGAGATGCTCTCTCGAGCGTAAGTAAATTCTTATCACGTGCTGCTGGAAGACAAAGGCGGCCGGGAGTTCCTCTTTCTCTCTGTCTGGCCCTCGGTTTAACACTGCACAAATATTATTAGGGCTCACGTTTCCCAAGATTTGTGATTTAATACCGTCATCACGATGCACTTCCTGGGTTTCATTAATTTTCGTCTCTCCCCGTCTGTATACAGGGATCCGTGCTGTTATGATGGAGTTATTTATTTTTTTATTCATTTTTTTGATGTCCTGAGGTTGAGGTCAGTTTCCTGATTGTTGGAATTCATATCCCTTGGTTTTGTAAGATCATGAAACGGAATATAGTTTAAGGTGCATAACGTTAGCATTAATGTTATGTGTGACACTATGTGGATTGTGTTGTATATGAGCCTTTTCCAAAATTGATATTAACAATAATATTTGCCGTTATATATATTATTTTTTATTACAAACGAAAAATAATAATAATTAATAAAACCCGTAAGCCAGGCACACGCAAAACCAGGTGTCGGTCATAAACAGGCCATTAATAAATAAAGAAATAATAAAACTCTCGAGGCGAGGATGTTAGCAGCTATCTGCGAAGATCTCCAGATGAACAAGAGTTTGATGTGCCCTAAGGGAGGTCACGCAGAGGGAAGCCCTCCGCAAGCCAGAAATGAGGACGCCCACGGGTAAAACTATTTTTTTTAAAACAACAGTTCAAATTTAAAATGCAATAACAAGAATAAGCTAAAGTTAGCGGTCCTCGCGCTCACTCCAATCAAGACCAGGCCACCAGATACATCAGTGAATTATTATCCAATAATTAATTCGCTATCAAATGATTTTCACCTTTAATACTTTTACTGTTAAAACAAAGCTTGGAAGCAAAATACCGAGTCACATCAAAGGTTATCGAGAAGGAATGAGGCGAACGGGCAAACTTACGAAAGAGTTTAAACAATATCCCAAGCAACCCCGACCACCTTTGTCTCTCTCACAGCGCGGAGAAGCAGGAATTACACCTTATCACAAGGGGCCATCTGGAAAAGCCAGCCGGGTTTGATGAGGAGACACACCCCACCCCACACACGGCAACCAGACAAACAAGTTTTAAAGAAATTGCAATATAACATTAATAACGTGTTAACCTTAAACGATATTCCATTATAGAACCTTACAGAACCAAGGGATATGGATTCCAACCATCTGGAAACGGACCTCTTAAACTCAGGATGAAAATTATTTTTCTTTTTAATAATTCCATCATAACATTTCGAACCTCGGTAAACCGAGAGGTGTCGGGAGGACGTAGTTACAAACACGAGTCGTGGCGAACATGGGACCAAATGGTATTTGAGAAATATAAGTCGAAAGTATAAATAGATAGGTGCTCCCGACCACCTTTGTCTCTCCCAAAGAGCGCGAGAGAGGAATTTCACGCCAGGGCAAACAGATCGTTATCGCAGGAGCCATCTGTACACACACACACGAACTCACACACACAGACCCCGCCCCCCCCCCCTTTTCCACTGCGCAGAGAGAATTGTCTTTGAATATAACGGTCAGCCGCATTTTTCAAAAGTCAGTGAAGTTAAGTCAAGAGTCAAGACAGATCAGCGAGTCAAGACGTCCACAGGACGAGCAGTCGCATGGAGCGGCTGGCTCCGAGCCTCGCTGAGTAGCGAGGATCGCTGAGTCGCGATGTATCAACGAAAGTGAGTCATACAGCAGTGGAGAGAAACTGCTATCAGTGAATCAGCGCTGAGAGCGCTCGAGCATCTCCACAAAGAAAGCACGTGCAACGTGGCTCAACCAGCAGCGGAAAAGCTTGGGCAGCCGCCAACAACTTCAGCAAACCAGTGACCAAGCGCGTGCGACTTGAGTCATACAGCAGTGGAGGAAACCTGCTGTCAGAGAGCCGCCAACAACCTCAACAAAGAGAGCGCGTGCGACTCGGCTCACTCAGCAGAAGAAAAACTTGACCTGTCGCTCGCGAGCGCAGCGTCAGATACTACAGCAGCGGAAAGAGCGCGCGCCGGCGTAGCTCATCCAGCAGTGGAGGAAACTGCTGTCAGCGAATCAGCACGGGCGCGTTCGCGCATCTTCAAGGAGAAAGAGCGCGGCCAGCAACGCCAAGCAAGAGCCTGCAGCAGCTCAGCCAGCAGTGGAGAGAAACTGCTATCAGCGAATCAGCACGGGCGCGTTCGCGCATCTTCAAGGAGAGGGAGCGCGCGCCACCAGCGTGCCATCAGCACCAGCACCAGCGCGTGCCAACAGTGCGCCACCAGCGTGCCACCAGCATCAGCACCAGCGCGTGCCAACAGCGTGCCACCAGCGTGCCACCAGCATCAGCACCAGCGCGTGCCAACAGCGCGCCACCAGCGTGCCACCAGCATCAGCACCAGCGCGTGCCAACAGCGTGCCACCAGCATGCTACAGTGCGCAACTTCGCGTCACCAGGGCTGAGAGGGCAGCGGTCCTGCACTCAACACCCATCGGCGCGACGACGGCGAGCGTCGTGCTGACTCATCCAGCCAGCGGTGGACAGAAACTGGCAGTCGTTCGTATGCCCCCCCACACTCTCCCCCCTCCTCACTCCCCCACCGCTACACAACGAACAAACAATTTTTTTGACAAGGAAATCAACCTAGGCGTTTGCTCAACGCAAGAAATCAACAACCCTCCCATTAAACATACAAGACTCATGATAACTGCGTCAACTATTAGCTGATAACGAAAAACATCGCCACCCATTGAGTTACGTTGATGAGGCAATCAGAATTATTTCAGTCGAACGCTTAATTGCATAATCGTTGATGAATCAATGAACGAACATCGCCGTGGTACTGTGCTGACGATTTCAAGCATAATAATTTCGCATATCAGAATGTGTTAAGGATTGGATACGAATCAAAGACCGAGTGCCGTGTTGTGTAATCATTCAAGAATACGAGTTTGCATATTATAAGGTTAAGGTTTTGATAGAATAGTTTGCATGTTTTGAATCTCTCTCTCAACAATCGATCGATTGCGTTACGCGTCGGGAATTAACCACAGGTGCCGCTATCGAGGTGAAACAACATAATCGTGATGGTATCATGTTCACGCTGTGTTGAAATTCCAAAATCCCGAGATTGAGTTTTCATATTATCCAAAAATTAAAGTTAGCTAGAAATAAAATTGATTAAAGCAGAAGGTTTGTGTGTGATTCTTCCTGAAATTCTGCATAATATTGTTCTGCGTATGAGATCTGAATCCTGGGGACCTATCATAAGCACACTATCACCACACATAATCCATAACACACATAATTCGTAATGTTCAATCGAGAGTAATCGTATCCTTATCGATAATACGGAATTAAAGAGCAGAGTCGAATCGACTCTCTCTCATTCACGCTCACAACGCCTGCGTCACTGCATACGATTAATTGCGTCATTCCAATTCATAACACAATCCTAGTCACCGAGGCTCGACCTTATAATCCATAACGACCTGCATCATCATAACCACGCCCACTCGCATAAATTAATACGATTATCTCTCGAATCAGCATAATTTATGCGCATAATTACACTGATTAACATAATTTCGGATAAATTATGCAAATCTCAAATTTCATTTAATTTTCATTATTTTCATCAATTTTCATAACACCTATATATACAACAATTGTAACCTGATTTTCTTGTACTTTTGTTAATTAACTTGTCTGCCTGGTTTCGCTCCCTGGCGCTGCTGCTTGAGGAACTCCTTCCCGCCTCCTTTTGATCTTGCTGCGTTGTGGGGGGGGGGGGGGTGCCGTCCGTGTCCATATGTGTGGGTGTGTGTGTACTCTACCAAGCCATCTGTTTCTCCGTTGCCCTCCCGTGCTGCGGGAAGACAAAGGCGGCCGGGAGGTTCTCTTTCTCTCTGGCTGGCCCTCGGCTTAATATCGCACAAATATTATTTGGTTCTATGTTTCCCAAGGTTTGTGATTTAACACCGTCACCACAACGCACTCCCCCGGGATTATTAATTTCCGTCTCCCCGTCTGTATACAGGGATCCGTGCTGTTATGATGGAGTTCTTATTTATTTATTTTTATGTCCTGAGTTTTAAGAGATAAGTTTCTTGATTGTTGGAATTCACATCCCTGGTTTTTGCAAGGTCGTGTAGCGGCATGTTGTAATGTAATTTAAGGTGAATAACGTTAGTGTTAATATTATGCATGTGAAGTAATAACCCACTAGGGAGATTATAGTCTGGTGTTGTTTTTTTGTTTTGTATAGTGTGTGGATTCTTTATGATGTCGACTCATTGTTGCTAAGTTCTGAACTTTAACCGTGGTATTAATAGCAAAGAAGGGGAAAATTGTTTAAACCTTGCGTGTGCCTGGCGTCTCATTGTCTGTGAGTTCCGAGATGGACTCTTTGATGCCGGGAATTTCCCTCCCGCTTCGTTAGCAATCCCCCCCCCCCCCTTTTTCCCTCTTTGATCTGGTTTATTACTCTTTATGGTTTATCTCTGGGTGGCCTGGTTGTGTGTTGGGGGGGTGGGGGGTCCGTATCCCCCCTCTTTGCCTCGGAATTTTTTTTAATGGCCTTTTACGACTTCCAGCTGCTTTTCTGGGTGTCGGTTTGAGGGCGTCCATCTATTTTATTTATTTATTATTTTTAAAAAGTCGGCAAATATTAATATCAATTTTGGAAAAAGGCCCATATACAACACCTGGCAAGCCAGGAGATTTTGATCCACCAACCCTGGCCCCCTAGTGCTGGATTAGAGGCATGCTCCCTGGGCAGGGTCACTCGGGAACAGATTCACCAGACCCTGCAAAACCAAGCCTCACCTCAAACATTGTAGGTGTCACCTGATTTAAGGTGTTCGTGAATCGTTACTCTATAGCTACAGCGAGACTCCTCTTGTCGTCTGTAAAAAAGGAGGCACTCTTAACGGATGCTATTTATCATGACCATCATCATCATCAACATTATCATAACCATCACCGACATCAACATCACCACCATCATCATCATTAAACATCCTAACCATCATGACCACCACCATCAACATCATAACCATCACCACCATTATCATAAGCATCATCACCATAATAATGACCATCAAGTAACAACAATAATAATTATTGGCATCCACTGTCTACCGCCGGATGAAGATCTCCCTGAAACATCACACACTCTTCCTGTGATGTCCAATTTATCTCACCGCTGCGCATGAACAGATGTCATCGCTCCCGTTGCCATGGCGATCGTCCTTGGTTTGCTATCTTCATCACACATTGCAGTGCTAATACGGCACTAATTGCTGCAGGACAACGGGAGAGTTTAATCTGCATGATATCCATGCAGCTGCCACCGAGCCATCATCCAAACGGTATGGAGTCATGGGACGCATGCAACATCACCACCGACCGAACAGCAGGCATCCCGTTCTTCGACGAGTGGACGACGAGGTGTGGCCCAAAGTAAACTATAAAAAAAACTAAACTTTTTTAATTTTACCAGGTAAGGCCCGCTGAGCTTCGTAGCTCTCTTTTCAGAAGCGACCTGGCTATCACAAATGATAGCTCAACAAAAGTGGCTTATCACCACGTGGAAATGTATAGCAACCAAATACTCTGAATGCGCGACGTTGTTTCTAAATGTAGAGGGAAAAACCGGAGGACTCGGTGAAAAATCCACGCGACCACGGAGAGAACACGCCAACTCCAAATATACAGCAGGCAGCTTCAGGGTCGGGATCGAAGTGCGGCCGTGGTCATGAGTCCCAGACTGTGAAACGCGTGGCATTGTCCTGCCCTGCATTTACATCTGTTGCAGGAGGTGCTTTATTTCTCCATTTAGCATCTCAGTCCTGTTTCTGTTGTTGAGGGTGATTGTGTACCGTGTGCTGGTGGTCGCAGCAGTACTTCTGTGACAATGCTTATTGTGTTTAGTTAAAACTATTTATTATTCATACCGGCTTTTTATGATTTTTGTGATGATATTGCTTGGAAAGCTGCATTTTTCATTCATGATTTGTTACAAAGTATGGGTCAGATTCACACATTGAAAAAAATGGCTGAAACAGATTGCCGTGGCGATTGAGTGGAGACATTGGTAGGATGGGGACACTGGCCTGCTCCGACACTTGTGTACCCTGAAAAGCGAGACTTGTTTTCAGGAGGATCCTCACAAGTTTTTGCAGTAGGGAGTGATGTTGCTGCTGTGTGTGATGCCAGCTGAGTAATTTGCTGGTAGTTTTTCAGCATTGATATATTGCCCAATGCCAGTTTCATTGCACATGTGGTTTTTGTTTTTCCCGTGAAAGGAAACCCGTGCGGAACAGGGGGAGATCATACAAACACCGCGCAGAAATGCGCCCAATGCCTGTACGTTTGGAAAAAAAATCGTCTGCCAAACACTGATCGACTAACGAATACTCGGTGATTCTTGTGAAATGTGTCCGCAGAGCCCAAGAAGGAGGAGCCCAAGGCTTGCATGAGCGAGGTGTGCGTCAGTGCGGCGACACAGATGCTCACCTACATGGACCCAAGCGTGCCTCCCTGTGACGACTTCTACCGCTACGCGTGCGGGCGCTGGGGTGCGCGCTACCCGCTTCCGGGAGGGAAGAAGCGCTGGAGCGTCTGGGACATCAGCTTCCATCACAACCTGGAGCTCATCAAAAACAGGCTCGGTACTTTTCCCACTCGAATGCAGAACACTGCTGCACTCACGTGGGTTTCGTCTTCGGATATCACTGAGAGTCAAGGGCGCCGGTGTCATGTAGACAACGCAAACTAACAATGAGCGAGGTTGTGAAAAATATAAGCAGATGACTCGCCTCCATCCCATACCTATCCCTCCACATAAACAACTACAAGTATTTCGTTTACACATCCCATCAGCCAAACAGGCCTCTGGGAGTGCGTTATTTCAGCAGCATTGGTTCAACACAAGCAAACTCTGGACCAGTTTCGACAGTCATTATCTCACCAGCAGAGTCAGACTTGCTTAAAACAATGCTTGTGAACTGCCAGATTATTTTAATAGGTAAAAACTGGTTTTGACATTCAGTGTCTCATCAGCAGAACCAGGATTGAAGAACTGCCAGAAGTTTTTTATTGGCATGGACCTAGATCTCTGTCAGACGTGGGTCCAAGTTCAGCTCAAAATGCGCTTTTGTGCCTTCAATTTGCCGCAGAGTCAAACGCAAGACAGTGCCGCTCTGCATTTGTCACGGAAATGTGGGTAAGAATATTTGAAAGCAGCAGTGAGCCCACGAATCTGCGCAAGCCAAACACGAGATTTGGTTTCACATGACAATGCCTTTCATAGGCCAATGAAGAGCAACTATTGGACGTTAATGTATAAGCGATCTAGCTGTTCAGTTTCTTTGCCTGAAAGTTGGTGAATTGAAGATACAGCGCCTTCAATTTTAAATTTGGAGCAGTGCAACATTTTTTTGTCAATTTGGTGTTTGTAACCGCGGTCCTATCTTTTAGCTTCCACTAATCCATTAGGTGTCCGCATCTTCAGTGGTGTGTGCAGATCCAGTTTAGCGCTGCCCATTGCTTTCTTGGAAGATGGAAACCATGCGGTGTGGTGGTAGACTGACTGATGAGCTGCGTGTTGTGGAAGTTATGTGGTGTGGTGGTGGGGTCACTGATGAGCTGTGTGTTGTGGAAGCCGCGCAGCGTGGATAACGTGTTTATTGGGCGCCCGCCACTTGAATCCTCCAAGTTGGTTCACGTTGTTTTGCGACGAGCGTTAAGGAGCTGATTTGTGCTGCGTACGTAGAGAACGGCACGTTCGACAAAAATAAACGTCTGGCCGCGTACGACGCCCAGGCGTTCTACTTGGCCTGCATGGACGAAGAAAGAGTCGAGGACGTTGGGGCTACCCCCCTGCTGGAGCTTCTCAAAGAGGTGCCGTCCTCGCTCGTCGCCTCACTCAGCGGCAGTGCTGTCGGGGACCGCGGTCACGTTGATACCTGGTGGACGGGTGTCTGGTGGGCGGGTGTCTGGTGGGCGGGTGTCTGGTGGGCGGGTGTCTGGTGGGCGGGTGTCTCGTGGGCGGGTGTCTCGTGGGCGGGTGTCTGGTGGACGGGTGTCTGGTGGGCGGGTGTCTGGTGGGCGGGTGTCTGGTGGGCGGGCGTCTGGTGGGCGGGCGTCTGGTGGGCGGGTGTCTGGTGGGCGGGTGTCTGGTGGCGCGAAGGGAGCCTGCGAACGCTCCTCTTGTCCATCATGATATAAGGGACCGATATCGCCGGTCTTATTTTCCACGGGGTTATCCACACATTTACCCCACTTACCCGCGAGTAAAGATTGATGACAATTGGAGCCGTTAAGTAAAGACTTTGGGGAAGAGTTGCAGATGACAGCGGATAATTGGGATCTTTGGGCTGCGGGTCAATAGGAGATTTCACGGCCACTACATAAGCTCCTGTGGATAATTGGAGTCGTGGATAATACGAGTCGCGCATAAAAGGGTCACGGATAAGAGGAGTTCTGGGTTGCGAATCTCCTGCCACACCGTTCACGTCGGCTGGTTGTGTGTGGTTGCAGTTTGGTGGCTGGGGTGTTCTGGGCAACTCCAGTCACCTGAATCTGACGGAGCTGATGATACGTTTGTCACGCAAGTTCTTGTCTCCAGCCATCTTCGACATTGATGTTGTTCCTGGTATTGACAGCCCAGGAATGTATTTTATAAAGGTAGGTCTGTCGTCTGTGATGAGATTTTTGTTCAAAATATCAGCATTACATATGAGAGCCAACCCAATATTAATATGTCCACTAGTTTTTTTTTAACTCAGTCTGAGCATAAATGACGAAACGCCAAGCACCCAGCAATAAACAGTGGGTGGGTGAGTGTGAGTGAGTGTGTTTTCTCGGCCACGATCATGCCCTCCCTTCTCTATGTTTGCGAAACATGGACTCCCCCCCCCTATTGGCAGTCGCCTTCCAGCAACAATGGAGGGCAGATGAGCGATGCTCACAAGAACGAGCCGAGCACCAGGTGGCTAAAACACAGCAAGTTGGCACAATAGGGGGTACAGGTGGTGCATCGGCCAGGCATCTCAGTCAATGGAACCTGGGTCTGCCCCGTGGCCTGCCAGCGGGCGTTCGACACTTCACGTGGCCTTAACGTGCACATAGCCTGGCACAGGCGCCGTGGTGATATCACCGCCACTTAGTGGCAAATGCCGGTTGTTGTTGTTGAGTGTGTGAGTTGTTGTGAGCTGTAGCGTGGTGGTTGGGATCAAACAGTGTGGCTAAAACCAAAGAGTCAGTCTTGTGAATGATGGCAGCCAGATGTTCAGGAGCTCGATGCCAATGTCAACGTGTGCTGGCCACGAGGGGTTTTCAGGAGAGAGTTTGTGTAGTTTTGTTCTCCGTTGAAGGAGTATCAACCACAACGGTTTATTATATTTTCCATCGTTTGGGCTGCATGGCCACAATCGCACGACCGTGGCTTACCCTTAATTTTCTCCAATTATGAAGAAGATGTGCACATCGGCCTGTTGATGTTCTGATACGGATGATGGTTCCACCAGTGTCTTCGAAGAGGAATGTCAAAGCCAGAAGTTGTGCGTTATTTTGGGTATCACAACTAACACTGCCATGTGGGAGAAATGGTCGTCGTTCATTTGAATTCACGTGATCAGGAGAGGAATAGATGAATGCATTTCATGAGCACAATCACCATGGTAGTTACCAATATGTCCATTAAATTAATACGTTAATGATCGTATAATGAAAGATCATGTCACTTGTTACAAGATGATGTGACACGTGATAACGTGGTATTGTTTATAAATGTATTTTAAACATGAATGCAGTTGAGGCAGAATACCTCCAGAGAGAACAGGCCTGCCTTGCCTGGGCAAGAGAATCTGGGCAAGATCGGGTTAAGCTCCAGTCACCCATCAACATCAGAATAAGCCCGATGAAGATGGGTGATTAATGATGAGATTTTGTTTTTATCTGGTAACTCCTTAATAGCGACACAACTTATTTACATACGAGATCTATCGTGTCCCTCGGCCTCAGATGGACGGACAGACAGACGAAGAGGGCTAATGCATACATGCTTTCAGGCTGAGTTGAAATTTGTAAAATTATTTATTATAATGTTTTAGCTTTGCAAAATAAGAGCAAACTGTAACATTTCACTCACGTGAATGTGTTCTCTTACCGGCTTTCAGCTTTCTTCACCCAAGTTGAGTCTGCCATCACTTTATTACTCCAATAATCCCGTGAAAACGAACAAGGTAAGCTATGGTGAAATTCTGATTCAAGACACTCCACAGACTCTCCCCCTCATCTCATTGTACTCCCCTCCACGCACTCCCTTGCCTCTTATCTCCCTCTACTCCCCTCCACGCACTCCCCTACCTCTCGTATCACTCTACTCCCCTCCACGCAATCCCCTACCTCTCATCTCACTCTACTCCCCTCCACGCACTCCCCTACCTCTCATATCACTCTACTCCCCTCCACGCACTCCCCTACCTCTCATATCACTCTACTCCCCTCCACGCACTCCCCTACCTCTCATATCACTTTACTCCCCTCCACGCAATCCCCTACCTCTTATCTCCCTCTACTCCCCTCCACGCACTCCCCTACCTCTCGTATCACTCTACTCCCCTCCACGCAATCCCCTACCTCTCATCTCACTCTACTCCCCTCCACGCACTCCCCTACCTCTCATATCACTCTACTCCCCTCCACGCACTCCCCTACCTCTCATATCACTCTACTCCCCTCCACGCACTCCCCTACCTCTCATATCACTTTACTCCCCTCCACGCACTCCCCTACATCTCATATCACTCTACTCCCCTCCACGCACTCCCCTACCTCTCATATCACTCTACTCCCCTCCACGCACTCCCCTACATCTCACATCACTCTACTCCCCTCCACGCACTCCCCTACCTCTCGTATCACTCTACTCCCCTCCACGCACTCCCCTACCTCTCATCACTCTACTCCCCTCCACGCACTCTCCTACCTCTCATTTCACTCTACTCCCCTCCACGTACTCTCCGACCTCTCATCTCACTCTACTCCCCTCCACGTACTCTCCTACCTCTCATCTCACTCTACTCCCCTCCACGCACTCTCCTACCTCTCATCTCACTATACTCCCCTCCACGTGCTCTCCTACCTCTCATCTCACTCTACTCCCCTCCACTCACTCTCCTACCTCTCATCTCACTCTACTCTCCTCCACTCACTCTCCTACCTCTCATCTCACTCTACTCCCCTCCACTCACTCTCCTACCTCTCATCTCACTCTACTCTCCTCCACTCACTCTCCTACCTCTCATCTCACTCTACTCCCCTCCACTCACTCTCCTACATCTCATCACACTACTCCCCTCCACGCACTGTCCTACCTCTCATATCACTCTACTCCTCTCCACGCACTCCCCTACCTCTCATCTCACTCTACTCTCCTCCACTCACTCTCCTACCTCTCATCTCACTCTACTCCCCTCCACTCACTCTCCTACATCTCATCACACTACTCCCCTCCACGCACTCTCCTACCTCTCATATCATTCTACTCCCCTCCACGCACTCCCCTACCTCTCATCACTCTACTCCCCTCCACTCACTCTCCTACCTCTCATCTCACTCTACTCCCCTCCACGCATTCCCCTACCTCTCATATCACTCTACTCCCCTCCACGCACTCCCCTACCTCTCATATCACTCTACTCCCCTCCACGCACTCTCCTATCTCTCATCTCACTCTACTCCCCTCCACTCACTCTCCTACCTCTCATATCACTCTACTCCCCTCCACTCACTCTCCTACCTCTCATATCACTCTACTCCCCTCCACTCACTCCCCTACCTCTCATATCACTCTACTCCCCTCCACTCACTCTCCTACCTCTCATCTCACTCTACTCCCCTCCACGCATTCCCCTACCTCTCATCTCACTCTACTCCCCTCCACGCACTCTCCTACCTCTCATATCACTCTACTCCCCTCCACTCACTCTCCTACCTCTCATATCACTCTACTCCCCTCCACTCACTCTCCTACCTCTCATATCACTCTACTCCCCTCCACTCACTCTCCTACCTCTCATATCACTCTACTCCCCTCCACTCACTCTCCTACCTCTCATAGCACTCTACTCCCCTCCACTCACTCTCCTACCTCTCATATCACTCTACTCCCCTCCACGCACTCCCCTACCTCTAATCTGACTCTACTCCCCTCCATACACTCCTCTACTTCTGCCATCTCTTCTCACTCTCCTCTCTATTACCGTCATTCTCTACTCCAGCACGCAAAGCTCTCTGTCTCAACCTTCACTCAAGTGGGAGGTCGCTCATTTCCCCTGCTCCAGTTCAAGTCCAGGAGTTTTGTCCTATTACCTATCACCGGCAGCCTCTCTCCCTGAGATGAATAGGCACACTACTCTCTGTACAGAGTCTAGAGGTGTTCTCTCATTAGGGGCTATTTTCAATGTGAATCCTGGCTGTGTAGACTCGTGCATTCTTCTCATTAAGAGCTGCTGTTGTAATGCATAATCGTGATTAACCTTTGGCACGTTATTTCTTTTGCAAGATACTGCCTGCATACAAAGAGTACATGATGCGTGTGACAAGGCTGCTGGGTGGAGGAAATTCATCATGCGCAGAAATGGAGAAGGTGCTGGCATTTGAACAGGATTTGGCCAATATAATACCTGACTCCAAGGTTGAAGGCTCCGTGAACATGACCATTCCGGATTTCCAGGTATGTTGCACACTCTCATCGAGGAACAAATACACCGCAATCCCCCACCGTTCTTTTTATTGCAACGTGGAAACCTCTCCACTGGCAGTGTGATTGTCTCCTAGATGAATCGACCACAGAACGGGTCTAGAGGACTCAGCTCCACTCTCTTCCCCACGGGCCCCAGCAGAACCCCGATTAATGCCGTTGCCCACAAATCTCCCATCATCTCCATTCCCAAGCTCGTGCAAACCTTGCTCAATTCAAGGAGAGCGATATCTCTTCTCGAGTACAACTTTGGTGGCTGTGCTGTTTGTTGCTGGCTCATGTGTCCTTGCCGTTACTGCAAAATTATGGATAACGACAAGAGCAGGGACGAACAGGGTAAACGTACACACGGGTCGTGGAGGTTTCTAACGATGTTTAACTCAGCTTGTTTGTAAAGTCTGATTCGCGCGGTTGAATACGGACAGTGGAAGTTCAACACACACACGTATATTGGAGGATACGAACATTTGCACACGAGATGTTATCCAGTTATCGGTCATTTTCACGCGCACCCAAACCCGCGTGCACGTTCTGCGCTGAGCACCGCCCGTGATCGCGTCTTTGTCTTCGTGGTGACCTCAGGCCGTTCCTGCGAGCGAGGCTCCTAACCTGCTCCATTCTTGGGTCATCGTGTGGTTACACAAACGTCCCTTTGAAAACTTGACATCCAAACTGTCGACTGAAACCAGGGTAACAAAGTTGTCAGAATGCTAAGAATAAGTTGAAAGGAATCATAAGTCTACTTACAGGATGATTACATCCTTTGAAGAAGAAATTTGCCCTTAACAAATACAATTTGAAACTTTAATCCCCTCGTGGTTTAATCAGTAAGGCGAGACAACTTGTCAACATAGGCCAAAACTTAGTCATGCGGCCCGACATGGACACTGTCCCGCTATCGCAGAGAGGGGCAGAACCTAGACCAGCACAAGCCACATGGAGCGAGTGAGAGCCACGTGGAGCGGGTGAGAGCCACGTGGAGCGGGTGAGAGCCACGTGGAGCGAGTGAGAGCCACTTGGAGCGGGTGAGAGCCACGTGGAGTGGGTGAGAGCCACGTGGAGTGGGTGAGAGCCACGGGGAGTGGGTCAGAGTCACGTGGAGCAGGTGAGAGCCACGTGGAGCGGAGTGTCCAAGGCACGGTTTGTGGCCGCATGGCGGCAGGGTGGGCTCATTGTGACGCCGCGCGTTTCCGTGCCTGCAGAAGGCGATTCCCTTCCTCAACTGGACCCTGTACCTGAGTGGACTGTTCTCCAATGGGACGTACGAAACCCAGCCCCTCTTCATTGACTCGGTTCCCTACTTCAAGAAATTGTCCGATTACGTGAAAAAATCTGACCCAAAGTAAGTTAACCGGATGCCATGTTGCAGGAGTTACTGTCACAACCCAGCTTGTTTAAAAGTCAAGAGACACGGCATTTGTACGCGGTGATAATCTTCGCAATGGGCGGGTTTTCAACAGCTCGCAGATTGATTGTGCAATCCATGGTTGTGCAGCCATCTGCTGGCTCTGCAACAGGCCCCACGCGTCAGGCACCATTCTGGCCACGATCAGCCCGGCCAACAAAACCAAGGCAGAGTGCCCCCCCCCCCCCGTGTACCCTGTACAGGCTGCCGCGCCAAACGTCGCGAGGCCACCACGACACACACAGCGGGGCGGTGTGGCCGGCAGCCCCTTGTGTCTGTCGAGTGCTCACGTTTATTACAACGCACCTGGTGGCGCTCATTTGAGGCCGAGTCGAACTGAGGGGAAGCCACAGGACCGGCTCAGATATTTGACACCAATGTTGACCGTGAGTGGGAATCGAACTCGCGGTCGCCGACTTCCATGGCGAAGTATGCCAACCACTCCACTGCTGTTTCTGGTGCACACACACACACACAAAGACACAAAGACAAAGATCCCCCGTATAGCCTTAACAGGCTGTTGGTGCAAGTGCTGTTAGCGAGCACCTATGAAGGCCGGCACGGTACCGGAGGAGGTGGGTGGCCAGCACCACGCCTGACCGCATTTGTCTCTCCATTGGCAATGCTTTTACACACCGCACCAGGTACTCATTTAAGGCTGAGACGACCTAGGGGAGGCCCGGGACCGGTTCAGATAATCGTCACCGGTGTTGGGTGTGAGCGGGAATCGAACTCGGGTCGCCGGGTTTGTAGCGCAGCGCGCTAACCGCGACACCACCGCTCCCCACACACAAATGGCACGCGTGCACCCATCTGCATCTGTGTGCTTGCGAGTCGGATCGGCCTGACGCTGCTGCTGTCCAGACAAGCGTTGTCGATGTCACTGCCGGACACAACCTGCAGGGGGCACTAGGGGACCGTGGTGCCTTCATGCTTTTGATGGACAGCAGAAGGGGACCACCCTCTGATGACATAAACTTGTAAATCGCAGTTGCTGAGCACATATCAAATTGACAAAACGCTCAGCGGCCAGCCGCAAATGGCACGAATCAAAGTTTTCATAGGCAAGAGCATAACACGGGAGGGAGGGAATTCCAAAGTGGAGGGGTCCGGGGGGAGGAGCTGTGAGAGCAGTGGAAGAGGCCGTGATGTTTTACAGCATGTTGGTGCTCCACTCATCTCTTCACTACGTGTGTGTGTGGTTCTTGTGCTATGCACCAATTCTATTTCCGCAAGTTAACACCGTTACACCGACAGCTGTAGCGTTTAATGTCACTTGCTGCCCCTTGAGATGGTCGTGGTTGGTGCACGTCGTTATTAATGTTCTCGAATTCCCCATGGTGACAGAACACTGACCAACTATGCGCTGTGGATGCTCATCCAGAAGATGATCCCCATCTTGGACTACAGATTTAGGAAGGCCGCCCTCATCATGGCGGAAGCGATTGATGAGACCACGGAGGTGAGTGAAGACAAAACACGTTAGGACGTGTTCGGGTGGACACCTGCCACGGTTGGACCCAGACAAGCCGCAAAATTGGCGCCTGTGTTTGGGTGGCAGGAATTGATTGTACCGAGATCTGGTAGCATCGCGTTGAACTTCGCAGTTTACTGCAAAGTTGTGTTCGAGCTAGGCTGACTGAGAACTGTGTCTGGGTTTGTTCTGTGAATAAGGTCACGACCCAAAGTTATACAGTGTTTAAGACTTAATCTTTAATGTTCAATTGCCCAACACGTGTACAGAAATTGTGGCGTCCCTCCAATTGAAGACTCGTTGAGGAAAGCATTTGATTGACACGAGCAGAGATGAGAAATAAAAAAAATCAGTCCAGGTTAGCAGGGGACTTGGCATAATGTTAATGATTATCAGGCAGCTTGTCAGTGATTATGACTGTATTGGGGGTACACCAGTGGTGCACAGTATTAAAAAAAGCTAATTTTTTGCAATTATTTATTTTCCCGCGATTCGCAACCCTAGTCGTACAATCTTGCGGGGGTGGTGGTGGTGCATGAAAATCAGTTCTCGTGATGTCGAAGCAGTCGGAAAATGAATGTCGGATCAAATTTAGATTTTAGACTGGTTTATGAGGACCGGTGTGTTATGCTGCATCAGTGTAATGCCAATACGTCCATTTGTTGGATCGTGAGGATGGTAGAGAATTACGATGAGCATGGCTCCTTATCTAGGGGAGTGATGAGGCAACGTGACTCCCTGCTCTAGGGGAGTGATGAGGCAACGTGACTCCCTGCTCTAGGGGAGTGATGAGGCAACGTGACTCCCTGCTCTAGGGGAGTGATGAGGCAACGTGACTCCCTGCTCTAGGGGAGTGATGAGGCAACGTGACTCCCTGCTCTAGGGGAGTGATGAGGCAACGTGACTCCCTGCTCAACGTGAGCATGGAGGCAGTGCTAATCTCCTGTTTACAGCCCTGAGCCAGTGGTGGAAATTGTGCATTCCTATAAAAGGCACAAGTCTATTCACAGGACAACCACTGTTGACTTTCCCACAACGTGGTAGCTATTTTACTGGCCCCATAGGGATGATGGGCCGAGTCAACTCCCAAACAGGATTTGAGCTCGCAACCTCCCGATTGTGAGCCGCTCACTGTGCCGCTGAGCCATCTGATGGGTTCAAGTATTCAGTCTCTGACGATGAGATGCAGCCACCCAGAATATTACTGAGAAGCTGGGCGATAGCGATAGGATTGTAGACCGAGATGGGTTTTACTTCAGGGTCTTCATGTGGAGGAGGGAACGGCAATCGTTAAACATTTCTCACACCTCCGATTAGCACGGATGGCTACGTACGTGTGAAAGAAGTTCAACATACTTATGTACATAAATTTAGGATCTGTAATCAAGCCACGGTAATCCTGCGTGCTGCACTAGACGCGATGAATAGTTATGTAGATCCTGGGGACCGATCGTTGTCTCGTGGGCTGCAATCAGTGAGCATGGACTGAGCAAACCCTTCCAATTAAACTCTCCGAACGTGCAATGTTTGGCACAATGATGGTTGCGCATGACAATGACTCAAGACACATTTGGCCGGAAATGCTGGGTGAAGCGTGGTGCGATGATTGTGATGTTGGCAGCCTGTGCGCCGCTGGGAGTTCTGCATGGATCTGGCAGACAAGTCCTTGGCCTACGCCCTGGGGGAGATTTTTGCGATGAAAGAAATCACGGCGAAAAGAAAAGAGGATGTAAGTGCTCTCCTTTTGTTCTGCGGTTCAGATCTCCCATCGTCAACTGCAGTTCCATTCTTAACTCCAGCACGTGCCATACGCTGGTTGTTGTGACATTGGAACTACGGCACACGTAGGAAGGATGTCATAGCGCTGAAAGAAAATTCAGCTGTGGTTGAAGGAGCTTACTCTTATTTTTCAGTCGAATTTGTTTAAAATTTTAACTTTAGACTTTCTCAATGATCGAGCCCTCTGCCACCATTGTTGCACGGAGCAAATCGTGTGCCTGCGTTTTCCTTGCTTGATCGTACAGTTGCGGCAATGTTAAATATTAAACCCGGGATTAATTAGAACCAATTTTACTGGAATATTTCCGCGCGGTATGGATACAGGTCCTGTTAAAATACGTCTCCAAAGATTCCAGAGCGATTATTTGTTCAAAGGACGTGGTCATCCGATAAGTAGACTTGCGGCGACTTTGCCTTATCTTTGGCATTTTCTGCAACGGCGTTACTCCCAGTTTCAGTATCCAGCTTTGCATGTTGCCTCTCCAAGTAGATCTGTGTTGAGCCAGATGGTAATTCAAGAGACCAGAAAAGGAGTTCCATTTGTAAGCACAACATGGGGCACCAAAATTACAAAAACAAAATGGATAAAATATAACTTGCAGCAATCAAGCAAAGAGGATTCAGGGCAACTCTCTATTCAAAATATTGTAAATCCAAAACAGTGCAGACACAATGATAAATTACATGTATTTTTTTTTTCATCCTGTAAAAAGTTGTAATGGACAAATTACTTTTAATTTGCTATTCATAGCAAAATGAAAATTATGTTACAGAAACATCGATGTATTAATAGTGATGATTGTACTCGTATGTAAACATACAAGGGCGCCTGGTATGGAGGAGGTCGTGGGTTCGATCCCGTCCCTGATGCCGGTATATTTGGAGTTTGCGTCTCTCTCTCCCCGTGGTCGCATGGACTTTTCTCTGGGTCCTCGGGCTTTTCCTTCCATATTTAGAATCCAACGTTTCTTTATAGTATTTGGCTGCTATACATTTCCACATGATAAGCACACTTCGTTGAGCTATCATTTGTGAGCAGGTCGCTTCTGAAAAAAAAAGCTACGTAGCTCACTGGGCCTTACCTGGTAAAGTAAAACATGGTTTACTTTAGTTTACAATTATGCTTGTCAACACACATGTTAGTCTATATGAGAAGGTGAGTTGAGCTATTTTTTACACCAGCAGTAAATCGTGACATCGTGGCAAGGTGTAATTGTGACGCAAGAGTGTAAAACATTCACTAATCACTATCAGAGAATAATCCCGCCCTGAACACTGACACAGCCACATGTACAGACCTCACAACCGCACACGAGCAGCGAGGCTATAAATGAATACTGATCAGATGTTTTTTAAATACATTCCCGTGAAAAAAACTAAAGCTCATGTAAGCTCAAAGATGGTGGCTATGCACGTGGCCTGTAACCCAGCTCTGGAGGTACAGAGGGCTGGTGGACCATCGCACACATGTTTGTGATACTCCCTTCCCGTGGGTGTCGAGTAGGTGCTGTACCCTGGCTGTTCCAGGAACACCTGGGACAGCCGGTGTAAACTAATTTCTAATTGGTTTCCTCCCACACATAAACGCTCATTAATTGGCTGAAAACACGTCCGTATAAAGGGGACCGCGCAGAGCTTGGGAAATTGTTGGTAACATCGGCTCACTGCGTGGCTGCTGCTGTTGCATTCCTGCTTGTCTGTGGTTCCTCCTCGTGGCGCCTTTGAATCGCCCTCTCCCGTTGAGAGCGAGCGACTCCTGTGCAGCGCTGGCCCCGCATTAAAAATTGAGATGACTCGTTATTATTATCATCATCATCATCAGGTGCCATGTTCATCACAACTCTCCCCGCACGTTGAATAGGATCCACGTTATCTCCATGGCCTTTGACATATAATTTAAATGTTAATTGAACATTTCTTCATAAGTAGTAACTTTATAAGTTGTCAATAAACGTTTCTTAAAAGTTTAATACAAAACGTATAATATATACCAAAAGCCTTTGAAACGTGTGATTTTCATTTTTGGTTAATGGTGATGACCCCCCAACGGTCCAATTAAGCATCATTGTCTAAGAGAGACGTCGGTACTGTCTCTGCTATGGACGTTTGTATTTTGTACCGTTTAATATACGGTGTCTTGCGTGGCTTAGGTGAAGAAAATGATCGACAATTTGAAGCACGCCTTTAAAGATAATCTGGATCACCTACCCTGGATGGACAACAAGACACGGCTCGCCGCGAAGGAGAAGGTAGTTTGCGTGATCCTCGGTGTTTGTGTCGGAGCTTGGACGACGCAACTCCCCCACTGCCCCCAGGCGGCAGTGGAGTGGCGATTCCGTACGTTATCTGTCAGTCTCGGAGAGTTCGGCAAAGAGTTCGTCTTAACGCCTACGAGCAGCTCTCTTTCTCTCTTTGCGTGGCTATGAGCGACGTGACCACAATGCGAATAATGCGGCCCCACTCGCCGTTGCAACGGGCGTAGATTTCGTAGCAGGGTGCGCTTTGAGTCGTGACGCTAAACGCGGCACCCGAGTTTTAAACGACGGCGTGTGACGTCGCTCGCCGTCAGCCGTGGCCGTTGTCTCTAAACCGGAGGTCGCAGCGAGCTACTAAACTCGTTCTCCTCCAGGCCACGCTGGCTTGTTACGTTTCATTCTCGAGTTCCTCCTTTCTTTTGCCAATCCCACTGTCAGAAAACGTCTTCTAATTTCACCGTGAAAAGTGTCATGGAGCCACCCCGCCCGGTCCGACTCCCCTTGTTTATACGTATCCCACTAATCTTGATTTGAAGCTTTCGTGACTGCAGAAATCCATACTCTTTGGTTCTTTCGGTAGAGTCACGTAGCTATAAAATAAATTAAATCACGTTTCGGGCGCACAACACAAGCGTCCGTCATCAGGTGATGGATGCTTTCCCACCTGATGATGGCCGCTTGTGTTGCGCCCGAAACGTCGTGATTTATTTTATTTTATACCTACGTGACTTTACCGAAAGAACCAAAGAGTACGTATCCCACTACTTTGAGTAAACTTGGTGTGACCATTCTTGGGGACGGTGTTGTCGTTTCTGCGTGTTTCATTTAAGCATTACTCTGTAAGAGCTTGGATGACCATGTACACCGAGTCGATTGCTCGTTCACACTCTCCAAGGCCCGGCACAATGTCAGTGGAGCTGTGTTGGTAGTTCCAGTGTACGTTGGGCACTTTTAGCAAGTAAAGTTTCGAAGCATTGTGAATTGTCTTTTTATGTGCTGTGGAAACATATCCAACAAATTGCCATGGTCACCAATGTTATCCAATAAAATTCCTTGAATCGTAGCAGTGACTCCTACATTATGAAGTTTGTTAAACCACTCTGGTCTGCTCAACAGCAATTACATTGTACGTATGTATGCTGAACTTACTTCACACCGTACGTAGACAATTGTGCTAATTGGCCCTGAGGAAAACCACATTTCAAATTGCTCTAAAATGTCGCCTTCAAATTCGTTAAAGTGGCTAAACGTTCAAGGTGAACAGTCCAGAATGAACGTTGTTCTGTAGACGTGGCTTGCCACCACCACCACCACCAAAGAATGGAATGATATCTATGGCATTTTGCATGCGTCCGCTTTGTTTCAGGCAAAAAACATCCAGAGTGCGGTTGGTGAGGATGACTACATGGAAGATGTCTCGAATGTGGATATGTTCTACGAAAATGTGCGTATGGGGGAAGCTCCTGGCAGTTGTGATATTCACATCATACTATTTATTGCTTTGAAAGTCGTTTATTCTATAGTCCAGTAAAACCTCTCAAAGCCAGACTCGAGTTAGCCAGAAGTTAGGGTAAGCCAGAAGGCTTTGCTAAATAAATAAACAAATGCACGAATAAATAAATAACACACGAGCTCCGATTGGTGTGCCGTTTGTACGCTGATGAAGCTGGGTGCACGAGGACTACCCAGCCGTGGTCACGATCCGTGGTCACGATCCGTGGCCACGCCCCGTGGTCACGATCCGTGGTCACGATCCGTGGCCACGCCCCGTGGTCACGACCCGTGGTCACAATCCGTGGCCACGCCCCGTGGTCACGCCCCGTGGTCACGATCCGTGGTCACGATCCGTGGTCACGATCCATGGTCACGGCCAAGTTGTCGCAGCAGGAGGACGATGGTTGCTGTGTCCCAATAGAGCAATTTGCGGCCGTCATTTTTCAAACGTGGCAAAGTTTGGGCCATGACCGCATCATACGAGAGCTTGTTCTTGCGAATCACATCATGGGATCTTAAATGTCCACTGTGAGTAAATAACGTCACGGGATCTTAAATGTCCACTCTGAGTTAATTACTTCACGGGATCTTAACCATCCACTGTGGGTGAAGAAGATGGTGCGTAGTATTTTCACGGTCAACACCACACCACAGCAATAACCAGGACAGCCGCCGGGCTCGAACCGTGAACCTCTGCAACAAGCGGTGAAGGCGCTGCCACTGGGCCACCTAAATGCCACTCACCGCTGCCGGCGCTGACGCAGAGTGCACGTGTTTCCTTTCTGAAAACAGTTCAAGGTTGTTGAAGGCAGATTCTTTGAAACCATGGTCAATTTCTACAATTACACATCCAGAAGGACCATACGAAGCATGTTGGCCACCAGTATGCAATGGAGGTATGTACAGGTTTTGACAATTATTCTTAATGTTCTGCACATGACTAAAATATGTTTCGGTGCACCTAAGATGGTAGCCACTTGTTTTAGTGAGGAGTGAACTCACTGGTTTACTCCAGTCACTTGCTCAACGGTGGTGAGTCGCCTCCTTATCACGACTGCCATGCTCTTTGGTTCTTTCGGTAGAGTCACGTAGCTATAAAATAAATTAAATCACGACGTTTCGGGCGCAACACAAGCGTCCGTCATCAGGTGGGACAACCACAGCAAGAAACAAGAAACATTTGTTGGTTGTGTTGCACCCGAAACGTCGTGATTTAATTTATTTTATACCTACGTGACTTTACTGAAAGAACCAAAGAGTATGGATTCCTGCCGTCACGAAAACTTCAAACTACTACAATGGTTACTGTTCCCCTGAACTTCACCCGTTGATTCCTCCACCCGTGCCGAGCACTCGGTCTACCACACACTTTCATCTTGTCCCCACTGCGTCCAACCACCACACTGCATGTCACAACAACACACTCACCCACCTACTTACACACCCACCTACCCATGCAACACACTAAAGGTCACAACACACTCACCTACCCACCTATCCACTCACCACACCGCAGGTGACAACTACACACTCATCCAGATGAGACAAGAAGGCTCATCTGATCGAGTCGCTCACATTCCTGATTATTTTCTATTAACATGCTAATCTCTCACATGCAAATTTTCACCTGGCAGCCCTCTGATTGGTGGAAAACCAACCACCATCGGGTTGGCTGCCCACCACTTGCATTAACATTGGCTGCTGACATTTGGGCTACGCCCATTTCAAACCTTTATAAACAGTTTGCCTTTGAAAGCTAACCCCCCTTTTCCTGAAGACGACCGCTTGTGTTGCGATCGAAACGTCGTAGTTTTTTGTTATTTTCTTTGAACCTATCTATGTGACTTTACCGAAAGACCCAAAGAATATGAATTCCTGCAGTCACGAAAGCTTTAAGTCAGCTATTACGGTGCTGTACATTGCTGGCCTTGGTGCCTGTGCTTAGCAACTGTGAGACACTCAGAAATCTAAACAGCAGAATATTAAATGTTTTAGTAACATGTTTCAAAGCATTACAGATGGATAAGCATTACAGATCGGTAATAAAATTACTATTACCATTCTCAACTGGGCTTTAATTTTTAATGTCATGAGTTTTACGTCTAAAAATGTGAGATTATATTTTAATGATCGGTATTAGTGCTTGGGTTTGGCCATGTGGTGGTAGTTTAATGCCAGCATTCTTGTCATCAACTCTCCACTGCCCAAAAAGATCGTCACGTTGACACAAATGTCTTGTCCGCACGTTGCCAATGCGTTGATCACATTCTGACCGAAAAAGCTGCTCCTCACCGGTGGCTCGGGACGTTCCATGACTGAATTAAACATCGATACACGGCGACGTTTTGTTAAAAAGTTACATTCTGCTCATACTTTTGGTGGAAAAAAAGGTCATGAATAATTCAGAACCATTTATATAAACTAATGTCGGCTTATGTTTGGCGGCAGACTGTCTCACCACACACAATTTTCTTAATCTCATAAGATGTTGCAAATGTTTTCATTTAAACATGACATTAGCATCTTTCAGAATGTGTGTGTTTATATTCTTCGTTCTTTCGGTAAAGTCACGTAGAAGGGAAATATTAAAATAATAAAAATAAAACAATAAAAATTATCACGACGTTTCGGCCACAACGCACGCAGCCGTCCTCAGGTGAAGAACAAAGCAGTCGGAAATACAGCGTCCTAATGTGTGTGTTTAGTTGTGGTGACGTAACATCAGAATTATTTGAATTATTAAAATATGGACTCGCCCAATATTTTGGGATCAAAACTAATACGGAACCAACAATGCTTGCATGAAAGCAGATATCATGGGTTTCCAATTCCATGCCAACTAATTCAGTATGAATGTTTTGTTGCGCAGTTCCACAGCTGTGGAATGTGAGAAGGGTTAAACGACCTGCCACAACCCCGCCATGGGGTAATGACAGAGCCGTAGCTGCGAATCGCGTCGCGCGGATTGCCAGAGGGGGTTGAAATTAAACGTAGGAGTCCTGGCCTGCAACCTAATCGAGCCACAATGGGTGTACGTCCTCCTCTCTCTCGCTCGTGAACAACAATTTGGGAAATGGCCGCGAGGAAAGCCGCCAAGCAGTGGGTGTCTCGTGAGGTCGCTTTGCCGATGGCTGTGTTTGTCTCGCACAGGGCCCCAGCGCAGACCGTGGACGCCTTTTACTACTACGAGAGCCTCAACACGATGTACATTCCAGCCGGCATCATGCAGGAGCCCTTTTACCAAGATGTCTACCCCATGTATGGCCGCTGTTGCACGTCCACTGCTGTCCATTAAACGAAGTTTAAAGAGCTTTTAGTGTAACTAGGTGGGATCTCAAGAGACCAGGATGAATGAGTCTCGTTTGTAACAGGGACTTGGGGCATCAGTCTGCCAGTGGGGGCGATGATTGCTGCTGTGTGCCATGGTGGCGAGATGTTAACCACCTCACCTGGTATACAGGAGGTCATGGGTTTGATCCCTATCCTGACCTGACACCTATATATTTGGATTTTGCATGTTGTCCCTGTAGTTGCATGGATTTTTATCCAGGTCCCTTGACGTTTAGAAACATGCGTTTAGAGTATTTAGCTGCTATAGATTTCCACATGGTGATAAGCCACATTGTTGTGGCCAGGTCGCTTCTGAAAAAGAGCTATATAGCTCAGTGGGCTTTAACTTCAATTGAGTAATTTGCAGGGTAATTTTCAGATTTGCCAAATTTAGACCTGAACGCGGGCACACAAATGGCCCACTCTTGCGAATGATGTAGCGGGATCTTTAACGTCCGCTGTAAAGCAGACGCCGCGTTGCATTGTTACGGTCAACACACACCGCAGTGTTAACCGGGGTGGCCGCTGGATTCGAACCGTGAACGTCTATAACAAGCGGCAAACGCGCTACCCACCTCTGGGCAGCGTCACTGCCCGAGAGAACTGAAAATGTTCATTGTGGAAGGAACCCTCAATGTAAAAGAAATCGTGAAGCGTTGTTGTGGGGAATGTTAATAACAAGACGGCAAAAGCTCTGTTACCTGGCACTCAACCATCAGGAGTGCTCTATTAGCCGGCATCTGTCATAGATGGCAATGAAAGTTGATGGTCGATGGATGAGACTGGTGACAGAATAGCAACAAAACGAGGGAACGAGCTCAAGAAGATAACCACCACGCAGGTGGAGCGAGGAGAGTAGCTCATCTGCGCAGCGAGACGATTTGAGGCACCGCAACATCGCGAGTAGTTTGGTCATGGCTCCTGATGACGGCGATGAGCGTGAGATTTAACATGAAGATGAGGAGAAGCTCGGCATAGAGACGGGTACGACGTATGCCATCGAGGATCAGACAGAGAAGAGCAGCGAGGAAATAGAAAAATGTGGAGATTAATGGAAAGCAACGCAAGTAAACATCGTCCTCGAGACCCGAGCAGTGGCGATGCACACAGAGGGTAAACGCACGGAGGGTAAACGCACGGAGGTTTAAATGCACGGAGGTTTAAATGCACAGAGAGGGGCATCGCAGTTGATCATAGACGTGGAGAAGTTAATCATAGAGCGAGAAACAGACAGTCACACAGAGACAAAGGTAAGAAACACAAGGGCACAATTAAACAGGCTGGAGTAAATCCAGACGGAGCCACGCAGACAGAAATACGACGGCCGCCATTCACCACAAAGGTGATGTCACCACTGGCTGATGTCACCACAAAGGTGATGTCACCTTGGAAGTGTCAGAGGCTCTGGCTGGAGGCCACGGCTCAGGTGTGCGGGAGTTTTGGGTCAAGTGACTAAGACGGCAGGGGCCCTCCCGGCGATCCATCAGTGCCAGTTGGCACAGTTGGCACGGGGAAATACAAACGCTTCACCGCAGCACGGGAAAGAGTTTAACAGGCACACACACGCGACTTCAGTAATGGGAAACGCAACAAAAACACACGCAGTTGCTGAGTATAGGCCCCTAATATCAATCAGCCAGTAACAAACAGCACCGCCAAAGTTAGAATAGAAGAGGAGGCAGTACGGTGGTTGGTGTACAGTACCTCTTGCATCAACACAGCTTCGGAGAATATACTATCATCTCTTGATAGACCTTTTTTTGATTGAGTCATAGTTTTCAATCATTTTTACTATTTGCAAACAAGAGCATGCTTCTCGTATCGAAGCACATTTATTGCAGTGATTGCATCACAGTGAAGAGTTCCCTGTGAGTGCTGTCAACGATTGTATATACGGGCAGCAAAGTAGCACCCTGGGCACTCTATACGGCACTAAAGCCGTCCTAACGCGGTCTTTATTGTGGCATCCTGCCCAAAGCTCGTGGAGAGTGCCGAGTCAGCGTAGCGGGTGATGGAATGAGGCCGTTTCTGCCTGGGTCCAAAGGTCACCAGCACCTGCGGTTGTCTGTGTGGCGTTTGAAGTTGCGGTCGTTTTGCTGTGTCCTCAAATTTGCTTTCGCAGCACTCATTGGCATCAACGTCAGTGTCTCTAACTCTCAATCTAACGAGTAGTTTTGTCATGCAGTTGTCAACGTCCGTTATTTCCCGGTTTGAGTTTGCGGTAGAGGTGTCCGTGACATCCTCCTCCGAAGGTTTCAACCGAAAAATTTGCAATGGATTTTTTTTGTTCAATAGAAAACAACAGATGCATTTTAAATTATGGGAAATATCCGGGACTCCGAAATCCCGATGCCAATGCCACAGCCGCTACACGGAGGACAAGAGGGACGAGGCGTCGGGTGTGCACGTGAGAGTGGTTTATCGCACAGTGGGCAAGCACAGTGGCTAGCATGCTGCGCCAGGCACTCGGTGACCCCGGCTTTGATTCCCGCTCATGACGCATAACAGTGAAACGACCCTGGGCCTCCCGTAGGTCATGTCAGCAATAAATGAATGCCCTGGTACTGCATGTACCCATCAGCACTGGGGACACAAAGGCAACCGGATGTGGTTCTGACCACCCAACCCCCCTCGTGTGCTGTGCTGGCCTTTATAGGTGCTTACAAGCAGCACTTGATTCACTAGTCTGTGAAAGACTATACTGGGGGATCTTTGTATTTGTGGTTTTATCAACACAGCTAAAACAGCAGAGGGAATTTGCCCCATCACCAGTGACCATGAAAGAAGTTACTTGAGAGTTATTGTGGGGATTCCAGGGCCTTGGCGAGCGTGATGTGGCGCCACGGGACGCGGTGGGGTCGCTGGGTTGAAGGCTGCTGGCCAGTGTATTGTTTTACATGTGTAATGCCGGTACATCCCGTCATTCTGGTGATTAAAGCAGCGTGCCTAGTGAAACTCTGGTACATCCCGTCATTCTTGTGATTAAGGCAGTGAGCCTAGTGAAACTCTGGTACATCCCATCATTCTGATGATTAAGGCAGCGAGCCTAGTGACACTCTGGTACATCCCGTCATTCTGATGATTAAGGCAGCGTGCCTAGTGACACTCTGGTATATCCCGTCATTCTGGTGATTAGGGGAGTGAGCCTAGTGAAACTCTGGTATATCCCGTCATTCTGGTGATTAAGGCAGCGTGTCTAGTGACACTCTGGTACATCCCGTCATCCTGGTGATTAAGGCAGCGTGCCTAGTGACACTCTGGTACATCCCGTCATTCTGGTGATTAAGGCAGCGTGCCTAGTGAAACTCTGGTATATCCCGTCATTCTGGTGATTAGGGGAGTGAGCCTAGTGAAACTCTGTACATCCCGTCATTCTGATGATTAAGGCAGCGTGCCTAGTGACACTCTGGTATATCCCGTCATTCTTGTGATTAAGGGAGTGAGCCTAGTGAAACTCCGGTACATCCCGTCATTCTGGTGATTAAGGCAGCGAGCCTAGTGAAACTCTATACATCCCGTCATTCTGATGATTAAGGCAGCGTGCCTAGTGACACTCTGGTACATCCCGTCATTCTGATGATTAAGGCAGCGTGCCTAGTGAAACTCTGGTATATCCCGTCATTCTGGTGATTAGGGGAGTGAGCCTAGTGAAACTCTGGTATATCCCGTCATTCTGGTGATTAAGGCAGCGTGCCTAGTGACACTCTGGTACATCCCGTCATCCTGGTGATTAAGGCAGCGTGCCTAGTGAAACTCCGGTACATCCCGTCATTCTGGTGATTAAGGGAGTGAGCCTAGTGAAACTCTGGTACATCCCGTCATTCTGGTGATTAAGGGAGTGAGCCTAGTGAAACTGCGGTACATCCCGTCATTCTTGTGATTAAGGGAGTGAGCCTAGTGAAACTCCGGTACATCCCGTCATTCTGGTGATTAAGGCAGCGAGCCTAGTGAAACTCTGGTATATCCCGTCATTCTGGTGATTAACGGAGTGAGCCTAGTGAAACTCCCGTACATCCCGTCATTCTGGTGATTAAGGGAGTGCGCCTAGTGAAACTCTGGTACACCCCGTCATCCTGGTAATTAAGGCAGCGTGCCTAGTGAAACTCTGGTACATCCCGTCATTCTGGTGATTAAGGCAGCGAGCCTAGTGAAACTCTGGTATATCCCGTCATTCTGGTAATTAAGGCAGCGAGCCTAGTGAAACTCCGGTATATCCCGTCATTCTTGTGATTAAGACAGCGTGCCTAGTGAAACTCTGGTACATCCCGTCATTCTGGTGATTAAGGCAGTGAGCCTAGTGAAACTCTTGTATATCCCGTCATTCTTGTGATTAAGGCAGCGGTGCCTAGTGAAACTCTGGTACATCCCGTCATTCTTGTGATCAAGGGAGTGAGCCTAGTGAAACTCTGGTACATCCCGTCATTCTTGTGATTAAGGCAGCGAGTCTAGTGAAACTCTGGTACAAAGTGTTACACAGTGTTACACAGTGGTACACAGTGTTACACAGTGTTACACAGTGGTACACAGTGTTACACAGTGGTACACAGTGTTACACAGTGGTACACAGTGTTACAAAGTGTTACACAGTGTTACACAGTGGTACATAGTGTTACACAATGGTACATACTGTTACACACTATGTTCAACAGGGGTAGTTACTTTTACACCAATTATAGAACCTGTCTCGTACGGGAAGTGTTAATAAAAGACTCGCCTCAGCTCACGTGGTGTGTACGTATTTATTGAAGCACTACACATGTTAAAGCGCAGCAGCTGGTACCCATCGCTCCCTGTGTCCATGACACTGACCTAGCCCTCTTCACGGAGTTGAGCCTTAGACCTCGTACACTTTCGTTTTTAACACCGTTGCAGAGCACAGGTCCAGAGATTCAAAACGTCAAGTGGCCACACCAACAAAATGGCACAATCACATTTGAAGTGGTTAAGGGTGCAACGAGTGTCTTGAATTGAGCCAGGTTTTTAGGAGGGCTTGAGAAACGGAGATAACGGTGGGAGGAGGGAATTCCAAAGTGGAGAAGTGCGCGGGATGCATCAGGAAGAGAAGAAGGTGTTGTGACTTGAGTACACCCACTGCACGAAAACTAACGGATTTATTTGACTACGTTTACTTTTGTAAGTAGCATTGATAAATTCTACTCAATAGGATTGGGGTCTTGGTCAGATTAAGTACAAACCCCACACCGCGCCGCTCTTCAGCAGTTCACCTACATCCTGAGTGGCACCGCTGGCTGTACATTGCCAGCGCCTGGGAGGCCCAGCAGCTGTCGTGCCTCCGTTCCGCATAGTGAGGGACTCCACGTTCTCTCTCCGTCGTTATTCTTTGTACGTCTTCTTCCATGGAGGTGCAAAGGGTTGACGGTTCGAATTCAGCAGCCACCCTCATTCAACTAAAACTATTTCGCCACATAACTCCCACTGAGCTATATAGCTCCTTTTTAGGAAGCGACCTGGCCCACAAATGATGGCTCAATGAAGTGGCTGATCATCGTGTGGAAAGTTACAGCAGCGATATACTCTAAACGCATATTGATTGTTAATGTAGATGGAAAAAACAGGACCCAGAAGAAAACCCACACGACCACAGGGAGGACTCTAAATATACAGGCGTTGGGGTCGGGATCGAACCCACAACCTCCTCCATACCCGGTGACGGAATTAACAATTTGCCACCGTGGCATTAATACTGCGGTGTGGTATTAACGCGGCGTTTGCTTCACAGTGGATATTAAAGATCCTGCGACATCATTTGCACAAGTAGGCCATTGTGTGCCAGTGTCACGGGCCAAAAAATGTGCCACATTTGAAATATTACACCACAAATTGCTCAATAGGAATACGCAGACCAATAATTGTCCCCAACTGCATGAATTTGCCAGAATCCTCCTAAAAACGAGTAATAAAACTCAGCGAGGCTTTTCTGGGTAAACAAGTTTAATGACAAATTATAATCTGCAACACTTTCCTGCACGTGGAAATATACAAGCACTAGTAACTACGGTAACAAATGTGTGGCGTTACAAAATATGGAATGGTGTGGAGTTACGTTGGCTCTCCCAGGAGGGTGGCTATGGGTTGTCACTCCCGCGTATTCGTGTTTCCCCTGCAGGTTCCTGAAATACGCTGGGATTGGAACGGTCATCGGACACGAGCTGTGTCACGGATTTGACAACAAAGGTAAGGCCCCGGCGCTCTGCTGGGTACGGGCAGGACCCAGCAATCCCGACGGTCACCGTGCCACCGCTATGGCCCTCCCCCCCCCCGTCACCTCCTTGCATTGCCTGAATAAGCGTGGGAATGTGATTACTGGCCACGGTAAACTCTGTTTACGACTCTGCTCGTATATGGCTGCTTTAATCTCTCAGCCCCGTTGTAAACTTAGGAATATATTCTAGCCTTGACCTACAACCTTTAAGAGTTTTTATTTTAAGAAACTCATGCAGACTCCCTGTGGCTTAACACTGGGGAGGGTGCGTGTGTGCTTTTATTTAGGAACAGGAGAACCCATTTTATCAAGAACATTGCTCATTAAAAGAAAATCCTCCAAACTAAATCCGTGCTAGTGCTATGTGACTCATGGTTCGTGCGCTCTGGTAAGAACTCGGTCGTACGAGTTTGATCCCTGCTCACAGCCAACACCAGTTAGGATTATCAGAATTGGTCCTGGGCCTCTCCTAGGTCGATCAGCCTCAAAATGAGTACCTGGTACGATGTGTGAACATCGCATCACTGGGAGGGGGAGAAAGAGAGAGACAAAGGTGGTCGGGCGTGCTACTGGCCATCCATCGCGTTGGCCTTCATAGGTGCTCGCTAAGAGCACTTGACCCAACAGTCTGTTAATGCTATACAGAGGATCTTTGTCTTATGCCACTTCCCACACCATGACCCGGGTGTGTTTCCCTGTAACCGACGCAGGGAGCGAGTACAACGTGGAAGGCAAACAGGAAAACTGGTGGGAGAACACGACGCACAATGAGTTTAAATTGCGAACACACTGCATGGAGGTTCAGTACAGCAACTACACGTGGAAGGAGAGGCCCATCAACGGAACGCAGACCCTGGGGGAAAACATCGCGGACAACGGCGGCCTGCACACTGCACTTCTCGTGAGCCAGAGAGCTTCTCTTCCGCATGCACGCACACAAGCACACACACGCGCGCACACATACAAAACAACAACACAACAGCCGCTATTCACCACAAAGTGGCGGTGACGTTACCATGGTGCTTGATGCCAGGCTATGTGCTAACTTGCTGTGTTTTAGCCACCCAGCACTCCGCTCGTTGTTGTGAACATCGCTCTTCTGCCCTCCGTTGTTGCTGGAGGGCGACTGCCTCTAACTACCCAGTAGCAGCATCCTTCATGAGCTTCTTCCAAAGAGGCCGATATTGACACCGCTGGTGCCGGTCATCGGCAAATCCACTCAGCTCCATACCCTCTCGTACCACATCAGGACATCTCTTCTTTAGCCCATGCCCCGCCCATCTAACCCCCCCTATTCCAGCCAAACAAAAGCTGTTTGGGGATGTGGTGGCTGCGCATGTGGGCTACATGCCTCAGCCAATGCAGCCTTGCCTACCTTAGGAGCTCGCCGATGGGAATGTGCCCAGATCTTTCAAGGATTTGTGAGTTCCTCACAGAATCTAGCCTAGTTAAACCCAGGATAGATTGTAGGCAGGCCAGTCTGAATGTTTCTAACCAGCACAGATGTTCCATGAGGGGGGGTCCACGTTTTGCAAGCATAGAGAAGGGAGGGCATAACCGTGGCCGAGAATACCTGGAGCTTCATGTGGAGTGACAGACCAGGTAGCTTCCACATAGCGTTAGGCAGTTCATGAAAATATAATGTCGTTCGACTGATTTGGGGTGAGACCTCTGTCAAACCTGAGCTTGTCATAAGGACACTGCCCAGGTATGGAAACCTCTCCAATCTCTTTCGATTTAAAGCTTTCGTGACTGCAGGGATTCATATTCTTGGTTCTTTCGGTAAAGTCACGTAGAAGGGAAATAATAAAATAATAAAAAATTCTCGCGACGTTTCGGCCACAACGCAAGCAGCCGTCCTCAGGTGAAGAAACAGAACTCTCGGAATGACAGCGTCCTCATGAACACTGCTAAGCTTGGCGGCGTATTTTAAGCTGGGTGGGAGGAGGAGAGCGCCTTGACAAAGGAGTTTACATATCAGCAGAGTTTAGTGTAAATGCGATTGGTATTACCTTAGAGTTGCGGCATCTCTTCAGAAATATGAGAGACTCGATCAGTTGAGCCTTCTTATCCTGGAGTTTGTTGAAGGATCTCAAAGTTATGTGGAAACCCTCCCCATAGAGGTGGTTAAATTTCAATTTAAAGCTTTCGTGACTGCAGGGATTCATATTATTGGTTCTTTCGGTGAAGTCACGTAGAAGGGAAATAATAAAATAATACAAATAAAACATAATTAAATAAAATTCTCACGACGTTTCGGCCAATCTCCACAACTGCTCCATTACCAATGGGGAGTTGAGGGGGTGGATTGTTTGATAACACAAAATACCCAGGCAGGTGCTTAGTTTTGGTGGTGGCACACTCCAGGTTCAGCAGCAGTGCCTCCAACTCCTCTGAGTGAACAGCAATCACCAGCATACATACCATGGTTATCCAATAGGGAGCCATCCCTTGACCGCACCTGAGGTATCAGTCGGCTTACCATTATGTCTGTTAAATGTAAATTCCTTCGGTACAGTTACGGAAGGCTTCTCGAAATATGTAGTTGAAAAATATGTTGAATGATGTAGGAGCCAGAAGACATCCCTGTCGCACCCAAGGTGAACAGGGAATGGCTCTGACGTTTGACTGTCTAGCTTTACCTGGACCTGCCCACCATTATGAAGGTCCTTAATGATTGTGAGCAGAGAGTCAGGGACTCCAAAAGCACGAAAACCAACCCAGAGCCGTGGCCTTTTGATGGTATCATAGGCCTTGACCAGGTCAATAAAGCAGATATGTAGGTCCTAGTGGAAATCCCTACACCTGTGCTGTAGCATACGGACAGATAATATGGTGTCTGTGCAGGACCGCACTGACCTGAAAACCACATTTGGGATCCACAAGCCTCTCGTCAGTGTGCTTGACAAGACGATGTTGGATAATCCTTTCCCGGCAGACTGAGGAAAGAGATGTCCCTGCAGTTACAGTCTCTGCGGTAGCCCTTCTTAAAGAGAGGGGAACCACCAGGACATCCTTCCAGTCCTGCGGAACCCGTCCAATATTCCAGACTATTGTAATGATGTCATAGAGGACAGTCTGCACACAAATGCCACCTTCCCTCAGCAGTTCTCTTGAGAGATCATCTTTGCCGGGCGCTGTTCCTGGACTGGACTGCCCTCCGTACGTCCTCAACAGATGGCACCTCAGTTAACCACTAACAGGGGGTGACTACTTAATATTTGAGGCATCGCAGCCCCTGAGCTGAAGGATTTCACCTTCCCCCCAGACCTCACAGTAATGCTCTGCTAATCTGCAAACCTGTTCTGGGGGGTCGGAGATCGGATCATCGTTCTTTCCCCCTTAGGATGATGGGTGTGCGCTATCACCATGTGTGTGCATGTGGCAGCACACGCACACACACGCGCACGCTACCACATGCACATGCTGCCACGTGTAGTGAGTCCAACTGAGTCGCAGACGTTAACTTGGGAGCAACACTATTTATTTAACACAACAACGCCAACATAACACAACCTACGCTCGGGTCTCGAATGCCCATCTAACCACGCTACGGCAGAACTAGACCCGGTTCGCTATCCCGGTCCGGACCACAAGCTGGGTCCCGGACCGCGTGGCTAGAGGCTTCTTCTCCCCGACGTGGATCTTTGAACACCAACACTTGACGAACCCGAGCTCCTCACGGAGCTCTCGTTATATGCTCCCAGGCTGGGGCTGGCTCCACCCTTAGCCCCGCCCACCTTCCAGGCTCCTCGAGCCCCTTCTCAAACGTTCCCGAGGGCTCTCCGGGACCACGTGACCGCCCCTTGGCCCCCGTCCACCGGTGGCCCCCCTCCAGTGTCGTCCGGTCACGTGACAACAGGTCAGCCAGAGTGTCATGCCCCAGCCTAACCCTGGCTAGCTGACGCTCCCTCTCGCTCCCTACCTGGGAGCCAGCACCCCACGCTGCTCGTGATGCCTTCGCGCTCACCCAACCACCGCTAGGGTTGGTACTGCAGCCAGCAACCCGGGCTGCCCGCAATGACATCACCGGCCGTGACTTCGCAAGCCCCGGCACCATACAGTGACAAGTACAGTCACTACACATGCACAAGCACGCAACTCGCTTGGACCAGGCTGCAGGTACGAGGGTTGGCGTGCATGACGTACGAACAGTCAATGGCTCTGTCTTGTTAGATGAACACGGGGCAGTATTCACCTCCATTGGCCGCCTTGAGAAGGGTAGCCCCCTTTACAGTTTTGATTCGGACAGGGGTTTGACCCGTACAGACAGTCTGGGAATTAATGTCTACGTTTGGGTGGCAGGAATTGATTTTCATTGAGGTCTGCTACGTGTGTTGGACTTCATCGCAGCACGGTGTTGATAGACCCAGCCTGACTGAGAAACATGTCCGAGTTTGGTCTACAATTGTAAAGGTGGCGACCCTCGCCTTGATGCCGGTTATATAATTCCTCGTCACTTTTATAGGGACCACACATGTGCCAAAGACGAAAACAAAACTAACGTTTGAATATTAAAGTACTGTACTCAGATTGATGGTACGGTTTGGATTTCCAACACAAGTGTGCTGTACTAGCAACAAATTGTCATGTTCTGTTTACGTGACAACCCTTAATAGTTGGCCGTGTTGGGTAGTGGCAGGTTTAACGACACATTTATATATTTGCGCGATCTAACCCAAAATACCTGTATTATGGAAAATATAAAAGAGATACAACTCAAAACAGAGTGGCTAAGGTTTGAGGCAATGGCCTCTCGAGGGAGCAGAGGGCAGAGAGGTTCCTCGCACGCGCTTCCGGAGGCTTTACTCCACACTCGAGGTGTCGCCACACCTCCAGGTGTCGCCACACCTCCAGGCGTGTCGCCACACCGCGCGGTGTGGCGACACACCTGGAGGTGTCACCACACCTCCCAGTGTCGCCACACCTGGAGGTGTCACCACACCTCCCGGTGTCGCCACACCTGGAGGTGTCGCCACACCTCCCGGTGTCACCACACCTCCTGGTGTCGCCACACCTCCCGGTGTCGCCACACCTCCAGGCATCGCCACACCTCCAGGCGTCGTCACACCTGGAGGTGTCACCACACCTGGAGGTGTCACCACACCTGGAGGTGTCACCACACCTGGAGGTGTCACCACACCTCCAGGTGTCGCCACACCTGGAGGCGTCGCCACACCTCCAGGTGTCACCACACCTCCCGGTGTCGCCAGACCTCCCGGTGTCGCCACACCTGGAGGTGTCACCACACCTCCCGGTGTCGCCACACCTGGAGGTGTCACCACACCTCCAGGCGTCGCCACACCTGGAGGTGTCGCCACACCTCCCGGTGTCACCACACCTCCTGGTGTCGCCACACCTCCCGGTGTCACCACACCTCCTGGTGTCGCCACACCTCCCGGTGTCGCCACACCTCCAGGCATCGCCACACCTCCAGGCGTCGTCACACCTGGAGGTGTCACCACACCTGGAGGTGTCACCACACCTGGAGGTGTCACCACACCTCCAGGTGTCGCCACACCTGGAGGCGTCGCCACACCTCCAGGTGTCGCCACACCTCCCGGTGTCGCCAGACCTCCCGGTGTCGCCACACCTGGAGGTGTCACCACACCTCCAGGTGTCGCCACACCTCCCGGTGTCGCCACACCTCCAGGCGTCGCCACACCGGCACGTTGAGTTCTCTGTTTTAGCTAAGACACTTCCTTCACATATCTCTCCCAACTCGTAAGAAAATATGCATTTTTACACATCCCAAAAGCCACACGGCCTTCTGGGAGTGAATAATCTTAGCAAGCATGGGTTCAATGTACAGTAAGCTAACTCCGGATCAGTTTCGTCATTCAGTGCGCCATCAGCATAGTCCGTTTTCTGTTCATAGACACTCGGTATCCGACACGTAGAGAGTCAAATACACTGTATACATATATGTTGCTTTGGAGTAAACGTAAAGCGATATGTGAATGTGTGACGGTATCATGAGAAATTGAGTTCCCACTGCTGTGTGGGGTGAGCTCCTCCAGGGAAAAGTGGAGGCCTCCACGCGGCGCAGCGGCGGCATTTGACGCGGCAGAGCAAATGCCAAAGCCAGTATCGCTGGTTTGGTTTACAAAGCCTCTTGTCACGGTGAAGGAATAAAAAAAAGCACAACCGTAATCTGAAAAGTGGGTGTTTTTCAGTGAGACAAATCAGGAGCGTGTCAAGTATTGAATAGCCAGCTGATATATTTTTTTAGGTCAAAGATGTTAATTTACCTCCAATGTATGCGAGGGTGCCGGCGCTGTGGTAACACTCTTACCTCGCAACGACAAGAAGTCCTTGGGTTCGACACCCGACGCTTTTCTGTGTGGCACTTTTATGCCGCCGCCCCCGCCCCCCCTGTAGTACGTGTGCCCCCCCCCCCCATAGTATGTGCGTTTCCTCTGGGTTCCCTAGAGACCACACAATGTAACCAGTATTGAACAATCATCCCAATACTGCTAAAATCCATGCAATTTACTCAATTGGGATGACACGTAGCAACGTCGCCGCCCCCCCTGCCCCCCGCCCCCCGAATGTGAAAAGCTGGCAGGATCCACGTGAAAAGGAGGCTTGAGACTCAATTAGACTTTCCTGGGTAAACGAGCAGAATGAAAATATATATGCAGTATAACGTTTGAATGCAAGGCAGAACTATCCTTTACCATCTTCTTTACGTCACTGTTAACAGCTATGTTCAATCCACTGCTGGATGAACACGTCTTCGTGGTCTCGTGAAATAACTCTGCTCCTGTGTCCACGGTGGCCTTCCGCTTCGGGGCACGAGTCCTCCTTGGGCTGCCATTCTGTCTTCAGTCTCATCCAGCAGCCCACGGCCCTCAAGTGATGCTTCCTGCCCAAGTTCATCCCACGTTCTAACAGTCGATCTGACGTTCTCCGATCTGCGACTGTGCCCCGACCTACTTGTTCCCGTTTTTCTCGGTGTCATTACTGGCGTGCATCTTTCTACACTTATTATCCAAACAATGTTTTTCTGTCACGCGCCGCAGTTGCAAGATGTTAACTCCCTCGCCTGGTATGCAGGAGTTCGTGGGTTCGATCCCGACCATGACGCCTGTTCTATATTTGGAGTTTGTATGTTTTCTCCCCCTGTTGTCGCATAGATTTTTTTCCGTGTCCTCTGGTTTATCCCTCCACATTTTGAATCCACATGCATTTGGATTATCTGGCTGCTATACATTTCCACGTGATAAGCCACTTTGTTGAGCGATCATTCGTGATAGCCATGTCGCTTCTGAAAAAGAGCTACATAGATCAGTGGGCATTACCTGGTAAAATAAAAAAAAATGGTTTGATAGTTTGTTTCATCATTGGCGCTCCACCACGATTGCGATATCTACATTGGAGCTCACTGTTGTTATCTTCCTGCCCTTTGCATCTGTGCTGTGTCAGGCCTACGCACGCTGGGAAGAGCAGCATGGCAAGGAAGAGCCCCTCCCCTACCTAAACCTCACCAACAAGCAGGCGTTCTTCGTCTGGTTTGCTCAGGTGAGTGACAGAGAACCCACATCGTCAACCGTCCGTAACGTGTTCACTACGATCACCCCAGAACCTAAGTGTCTAAATAAGCTGACAATCCACCTTTCCCACATCTGTATCTCCACATTTAACAGCCGAGTATTGTTGTACCATGTCGCATAGGGCCTTCTAGAACCCCTATTTTTAAGAGAGGGTCCTTGCCTTTAAACATCTGGCAATTCAGCATTGGTTTAAGCAAGCCTGCTGCTGAGACACAATGACGGAGAGCAGTTCGATATTAGCTAACCTGCACGGTCCCTGTCGGCACGTCTTACATCCTCAGCTCTGGTGCTCGATGGAAAAGGAATCGGTGGAAGTGGAGATCGAGGACGCGTTAAGCGATTCGCACAGCCCAGCGGCTGTGCGTGTTCGTGGCATGGTCTCCAACTCGCCGGCATTCGCCGAGGCCTTCACCTGCCCCATGGGAGCTGCCATGAACCCCGAAGAGAAGTGCCGCATATGGTGAGGGTGGGACCCACCTCGCCCCGCAGGCCCAACACGAACAAGTGCACAGCATCCGTGGGCTGTGGCTTGACACGTGGCGGGGAGAGGGTCACTTCAGCGAGGTCCAGACACACCGGCGGCCTCGTGGGGGGCCTCGTGGGGGGCCTCGTGGGGGCACGCTCGGCAGTTTTCATAATAAACGGGGAGTGTTTTTGATTTGGTGCCTTATACATCAAGGTCTCAGAGCGCTTTATGCCTCATCTCAATGCGCTTGTGGGCGCAAACAGAGAAGGAGGCAATGGTCGCTATGCGCAATCCCGGTTTGGGTGATTTTAGAATCCCAATCTGTTGCCACCTTTCTTGTGACTACCCGTGGTGTTTTTCTCCCCGGGTTTTTGTGTTCAGGAACTCGCATGGTTGTCACGTGCGTGCGCTCCCGCAGCCTCCGGTAATTCCGGCGTCTACCCAGCAGTCGTTAGTTCTGTGCTTTGCCGATATTTTAACGCTTCAGATGTGTGCGGGCATCCAAAGTGTTTCCTGAACGAGGTACTAATGCTCAACCCGTCTTGGGCTCGCATTAGAGAGTCTTCCTGCTCTCGCGATCGGTGGCCCTTGAGCCAGTGGAGATGTCGTATAGTGGAGTCCCTTATCTCCACAGTACGACCATTGCTGGGGCTTTCCACAAAGTGGTACTCAATTTCAGAGCCCCGGGTGAAAGATGGGCTGATTTAATTTGACCGAGTCAGGGATCTAACAGGGTCAGTTTTCATACTCTTTGGGTCTTTCTTTCAGTTTTCATGTCCAGTATGTTTTACTGACATTTGAGCAGAGTTAAATACTGTAATCCCTCGCCAAACGTGGGGCTTAGGTTCCTGGAAAAGGCTGCGGTAGGCAAATCCGCGGCTGGTGAAGTACAGGGGCCTATGGGAATATTAACTAAACACTGAATACAATACAGTCAATAACACAATAACATAAAACGTAAATAAACATTACATTAGCTTTACATACCTTTACTATTAAAGATGACAATGAGATGATGGGGGAAGGGGTGGTTAGAAGAAGGAGGGGCTCAGCCCACCCTCCCCCTCTTCTTCTGGGTCATCAATGACAGATGTGTGGGCAGGCGAGGCAGGCACAGATGAGGAGGCAGGCACAGTGGTGCTGTGATACAATAAAAATGGACTGACGGAATCGCCGATCATGTAGATATTGTCCAATCAAAAAAGGGGCATGTCACGTGACTTTACACTCATCAATATAATTACTCGGTCCATGTATCGAATGGCAATGAATCAACACAGCAATTCACCTTTAAATTATGAACTGATCGTGATTAACCTATTTTTTATCTTTATTTCTTATATTTTATATGTATATCGTGGTGCTATTGGCGGGATTGGTAATGCTGTGGTTTATTTCTTTAACAAGGTAAATCAATGTGAATGACAAGCAACGTATGCGGTTGCGATGTGACGCGATCTATGCGTTGCAAGAATGACAGCAGTCCCTCGGTTAACAGTGACATCGGTTAGCGGTGACATCGGTTAGCGGTGACAGCGGTTAATGTTTCGCCTCCGATAGGACCCCATGGTTTTGACTGACGTTAACATTTCGATTAACGACACGTTTACGTTATGCACGCGGGCGCCACTTTCGGCCAATCTGAGCGCTTAAAAAAGAGGCTGAGCCATGCCCTCAGCCAATCAACGACGCCTATTTATGTGCGTTAAGTCCTCGACTGGCTTTGTTTACATTATACGATTTCTGTTTTGGAAGTAGCAACAGCTTTCTTTTGCGGACTCATGTAATTTCCATATTCGATTCACAGTTATTTTGGTGAGCAGTTTTCGTGGAACGGATTAAAAACGTTAACTGAGGGACTACCGTAGTGTACTGTGTAACAAAGAGCTGTGATAAAGCTACGCAGCACCACGGGTGGCCACGGGAGGCGCTGTGGCGCGGAGAACCGCGACCGTGTGACATTTGCAAATGTGTAGTGAGTTAAACTGAGTCGCAGGCGTACTCTTTGAGGCAACACATTTATTAACACCAACACACGTGATAACTGCCCCTTACAGAATAACAACCTATGGTGGTGACCACCGGGCTAACTACACTAATTACAACGTAACTAGCTACTACTGACCGGACCACAGCTCGGAGACTCGGTAGAACGTAGACGAAGGTTTCTTCAGAATTAACAACAACGTCGGTCCCTCTGGGGGACCCGGCTTATATTCTCTGAGGCGTGGCTGGCTCCGCCCTTGGCCACGACCACCTTCCGGAATCCTCGAGCAGTATCTGGACCCCGACCACGTGACCACCCCTAGCCCCCACTTGGGGCCCCTTTGTAGACTTCACCGGTCACGTGTCCTCTCGGGTCAACCAGAGTGCCATGGCCTTTAGTAACTTCGGCACTCCCACACCCTATCCTGGAGGGCTGGCACTGCACGCCAAGCGTGGTGCCACCTAGCGCTATCAACAGCACTCACCGAGCCCCTCTAGGGCCGGTACTACACCCACACCATAGTGGTGTCTGTGATGCCGTGACTCTCTAGGGCCGGTACTACACCCACATCATAGTGGTGTCTGTGATGTCGTTACATCACACGCCGTGCCCCTCTAGGGCCGGTACTACACCCACACCATAGTGGTGTCTGTGATGTCGTTACATCGCACGCCGTGACTCTCTAGGGCCGGTACTACACCCACACCATAGTGGTGTCTGCGATGTCGCTACACTGAACGCCGTGCCCCTCTAGGGCCGCTACTACACCCACATCATAGCGGTGTCTGTGATGTCGTTACATCGCACGCCGTGCCCCTCTAGGGCCGGTACTACACCCACACCATAGCGGTGTCCGTGATGTCGTTACATCACACGCCGTGCCCCTCTAGGGCCGGTACTACACCCACACCATAGTGGTGTCCGTGATGTCGTTACATCGCACGCCGTGCCCCTCTAGGGCCGGTACTACACCCACACCATAGTGGTGTCCGTGATGTCGTTACATCGCACGCCGTGCCCCTCTAGGGCCGGCACAGCACAGCGACATCCCGCGATGTCACTACATATGCGTGTGGCGGGACTCCGTGCTCACCCGTGGATACTCACATTTCCAGGCTGCGGTTGGTCAATTGGTATACACTTAATAATAAACCATGTGTACGTGAATTCCGTGATTGGTAAGTCTGCGGATGGTGAGGGATTGCTGTACTATTTTTGTCTTGTTGAAGGCTTGAGGCTGATATAAGTGTATATCTTTATTGCGGTGTATAAGGGAAAATAGGTGTGTCCCATTCTCTGAACTTTTTTTTACAATCCCCATAGCCATAACACAGGCCTAGAAGAATCTACACGTGTTACAATTGACAGTGAAAAGTGATGGAGTCAATCCTGCAGCAGGGTTGGTTGGACAGTGTACAAGACACAGTTGTGTTGTCACTTCTCGACGAGGTGCATTAACCAATTGCACATCTGCAGTAGGGGCGATCCAACACACGCCACTGTAATAAGTTTGCAAATACCACACTGTATATTCTGCATGTGTATTGTATTTTCCTCTAGTGACGTTAGATTTGTCCTGTATTTAGTTTCGAGTGGAGAAACTTACAACATTGCGGTTGTGTATTTCATTGCTATTCATGTATAATTGGTTTTGCATAGCTGTCACGAAGCCAGAGCCTGCAGTCAAATGTCTTGGCAACAATTAAAAAATCTGGAAAAGTGACATCGGCTCGGCACCGCCAGCGTTTGGGTGATACCACGAGGCCCCGTGATGCGTGCCACCGGCCGGGGAGTTGCTCCCCAGCACCGCTGCGCTCGTCTGCACTCCACGGTTTTCGCAGATTTTTGTGGAATTGCGTGGCCAATTGATCCTAGAATTTTCGAAATTTAACGGGTTTTTTTAAGTCGTGGTAAAAAATGCCTTATTAAACGCCAGCGATAATTGTAAACCGTCAATTGCACTATTTACAAGATGTTTTGCCGGTGTGGAAGAGGTCAAACAACCACGTTGCCACTGGGCCTGGATGTCCAGCAGTAGCGATGGCCCCATCACATCGCATGATTACAAAATGCATATCAGGGGTTGGCAGGGCGGGTGCGTTAACCTTATCCGTGGGCTTCTGCAGCCAATATCGGGATTCGTAAGCATCCTCAGGCCACGAAATCAGGAAGGCAATGATATAGAGGATGCTTGCGAAACGTGTCTAATTGCTGCTACATTTTGTCGTGAGAATTGTTCAACTTACCGGTGAGCTGAAACAATTGTGGCGCGCTAAAACTTTTGCACTCATAGCATTTAAATGTTGTTCGCTACGTCGTGCGGTGGAGGGCTTCGCAACGAAATATTGTCTGGATCATTACGTGGCCTAACTCAAATTATGAATCGCAATAGGTGTTTGGAAGGTAAGGTGTACTAATAATATTAACGTAACAGATAGGGTACCACCTTTTCTGGGTTTGACCCAGAGTTAAAAATTCGCATCTGTGTTCGGGTGGCAACAACCAATTTGTCCAGGTTTGGTTTGTGGAAACCGGCACACCTTCGTACACTCCGATGCCTTCCAATTATGAGGGTTGTGCGATCATGATTCAATATCCTGTGCCTGCGATTCATCCCAAAATATGCATGATTTGCATTCAATTGTAAATAATTCTCACTTTATTTTTTATCGTTTTAAGTGTAAAGTAACTACTATATGTGATATTTGGCTGATGGTATGTGCTTGTAAAAGTAAGAGGTAATGTATGCTTTCTCATATATTGTGTAGATTGGTGATGAGCCCTTCCAGATGAGATGGTTTGGTTGAATTTTTTTGGTCTTTTGGAGATTGTGAAAACTAATGTAATGTATGCTGCACAGAATCGTGATTAATGGTAACCCACAAATAAAAATGATTGGTTATTGAACGAAGCCTGGCTGGCAAGAATGGTTGCGAGTCGGGGCGTGGTAGTGTGCACCGTTCATACTGCTCCTCGTCACGGTTCCGTATCGACCTTGAGTGGGGAGTCGACGGGGGGTTTATCTAGTTGCTGGTTCTCGTCTCGTACAACCTGCCGGGTGCTGCTCCAGTGGCCAATGCCTCTTGCCCACCGTACAGCCGAGCCACCAGCCCAGCGGCCTCCCAAGGCCTCCACAGTGTCCCCAAACTCACAAAAGAAGCAGAATCATTGCACATCGTCGGGCCTGGCCATGGCGCAGTGTGCGATGTGTGTGCAGGTTATTATAACGGCTTCGGCATTGCAGTCTTGTGAGTACAATAATTGTAAACTGAACTTTATGGCTTTCCAAAGCCATTTCCAACTTAACAGTCACGTGATACAAAAATTAGATTCTTGCATATGGCAGCAACATGTTCGGGAGATAAATCCCAATGGCAATTTTGGCTCGCCACGAGGGATACAGAGGAGAGTTAGTGTCGTGTTTCCATGCCTCCTCCGTTGCAGGAAGGCAGACCACAATTGGATTTACTGTATGGTCCATAGTTTGGGTTGCATTGCCATAATCACATTGTGATTGTGGTTTGTCTTTTAATATCCCGCTTATGAAACAATAAGAATCTTTATTTGGAGATGTGTTCAGGGGCCTGTTGATGTTCTAATGCGGTTGATGATTCCACCGGTGTCTTTGAGGAATATCAAAAACCAAGAGGTCTTGAAATATTGGTTCATTCCGGACGTCGATCTTGTTCCACTCTGGAGATGTTGAGTGATAAAAAAAGTCTTTACCCTGAAGCTTTTTTTTTTCTAATTCAGTATTGTTCCACTCTGCTGGCCAGCAGCGTTCCTCCCGGATCTGGATGATGCTGTAGGATGGTGGCAGTGCGATCCACGAAGGGATGGGTTTGGGACTTGAGTTGGCGGCGATGACGAGGGACTCAATCTGTGTTGGCGACGATGATCGATGGAGGCGGTGTCATTGGCACACAAAAACAAGTCGTGTGAACTCCCCTTCAAAAATCAAACGTAGTACGTTCAATAACGAAGCAGACAATATGCCTCCTTCCCATACGTCAACTATCCCTCCAAGTAAAAAGCATATTTTACATATACTGTACATAACGTAAGCAACATTAGTTCACCGCAAGCAAACTCTCGACCGGTTTCGACATTCAGTATCTCTCATCGGCAGTCATAACTTGCTTGAACCGATCCCAGACGTTTATAAGCAAAAGGACCAGGGTGCTACGCAAACCCCATACAACACTGCCAGAGGCGTACGGATGATCTGTGTAGTGGCCCAGTGGTTAGCGCTGCACCGCGATACGAACTCGACGGCCCGAGTGTTTTTTATTCCTGCTCACGACCCTTAACTTAGGTGGACTCAGCCTCAAGTGGGTACCTGGTACGATGTGTGATACATCAGCACTGGGGAGACAAAAGTGGCCGGGGGTGGTGTTGGCCAACCAGCCCTCTCTATGGCATGATCGATAGTATGGCACGATATTTGTTGCTTTGTTTGATTCCGAAAGTTTGTTTAATTTGCACCAATATGCTCACATATATACAGTACATGTAGCATGTTTCATTATTGGCAATGTATTACAAAATCTTTACGCAATTGAACGATTGTGCAATATGTTGCTCGTAATTAAACATGCATGTAAAACGCACGTGTCACAGATTGGTTGAAAATGAAACAAACATTAGCGCAGTACATATTCTTGGGCCTTTCGGTAAAGTCACGTAGATAAGTTCAAAGATAATAAGAAAAAACTACGACGTTTCTATCACAACACAAGCGGTCGTCTTCAGGAAAAGGAGGGTTAGCTTCCAAGGCAAACTGTTTATAAGGGTTTGAAATTGGCGTAGCCCAAATGTTAGCAACCAATTATAATGTAAGTGGTGGGTAGCCAACCCGACAGTGGTTGGTTTTCCACCAATCAGAGGGCTGCCAGGTGAAAATTAGCATGTTAAAGAGAGATTAGCATGTTAATGGGATAATGCAGAGCCGCAGCCGAGGGGTCGGCGCGCAAGGTTTGAAATGGGCATGAAGCACAACTAACATCGGAAGGTGGTAGGATGGGAACATCACAGCCAATTATGACTTAAACTGGTTGATAACGTCCTTCCAATGATTGCTCAGTTTGTACCCATATTCTCAGTTGAAATTGTGTCTGTATATATGGATGGCTTCATGAATTAAT